AGCATTGCAGAAAAATACTGAGATGAAGAGAATGCAAAGCCTGAATTTTCTTTGCTGTTTTTGCTAGTTCCCTTCTTCACTGCACTCCTACCTCTCATTTTTACCCTTGACAGTCTACCAAATCATTGTAATTAGAAGAGATAGTAAGCTTGGGTACTTGGCCCAGAGATTATGCTAAATATCTGAGTATTTTGAATAAGAGAATTCTACAAAAATCAGCTTCCTTGTGCATCATACAGGAGATGATTTTGTCCTGGCTGTACCTTAAGGTTAATTTAAGCTCTACAGCACAAAGGTTTAAGAGCACTGGTAAACAGCTTGTGCCATTACACAAGTTTATAATATTGGTTGGGCTGCATTCTGTTACCTTCCCAGTCAGTGGTGCCTTTCACTGAATAAGGTGCTGCTGGTTGGATCAGTTATGTTGGCTCTGGCCTAAACTAAACTTGTTATGCACTTGAACTGTTGTTGATGGTCTTCTGTAGCAGAGGAACAGAAGAGCCTGGGTTCACCTGTCTCACACAATCCAGTATCACTGAGAATAATCCTTGTGTCTCACACCCCCGTTTGGCACATATGCCACAAATCATGCATAAGTTTTTGCTTCCATTTTGCCTGAGTGTAGATAGTAGTACAGGGTACAGAGTGCCAGACATACTTACTTGCAGGTGAGGATGCATGTTTTATTGATTGTATGCTGGAGTGGCAATTTCCTTAGGACTTGGATAAGCATAGCTGAGCCCTAATTTTTTTCCCCTGTAGTGTTGTATTTAGCACATCCTGAATTCTACATTACTTGGTCCAGGGTCAGCAACTATTCAAGACAGATAAGCAAGGTTATACTTTTCTTTTGTGCGTGGGAGTTTAAATAGGTCAGCAGCTGGGAGAAAGTGCTACTCAGGTGACTGCTAAACAGAAGATCACTCCCAGTTTGTGTTGGTATGAGGCAGTGATTTCCAGCCCCTGCCAAATTCTTTGTTCAGTAGAGGACAGCAGCAGGAACTATGCCTCTCACAGAAGTCTCCCTTAAGATGCTGTAGATCCTAAATCCTGGTTAACTGTAATCCTGCCAGGTAGTATTTTTTTTCTGTTTTAAATGAGAGATCACTAGCCTACAGCATCTCTTGTCTCCAACAGGCAGAAGGGACACTAGGACAGTTCTTCAGTTTTCAGCCAAGAAGCCAAATTACATATTTGCTTTTCTCAGCCATTTGAGAAAATTTTCTAGCAGTTTGTCTTGTAGTTCATGGTGTGTTCTCTTTACACTTAACAGGTAATGTGCTTTCATTGGATAAATACATATATTATTATTGCAAGGGCCTCTTGGTAGCTTTTAACTGCTTCTGCCCCAAAGACTTATTAATACTGGTAGATCAAGTTCCTATCTAGAGCTCTTAGAAGGCTGCATACATCTTTACAAGGCATTTTTCTCGGTCTCTGGTGACAGCCTGAGCACATTTATGCCATGCAGATTCAGCTGTAAGTGCTCCCTGAGTCCTTATGCAGTTGCACTAAGGTGCCTGACAGTTGTAGGGGCTGCTGGCAGCAGTATGTCTTTCTGGGGTGACACTGGTTCCTGTAGCTTTCAGCTGGGAGGACTGAGCTGCAGAGTTCAGGCTCAGGTCGGAGGCATCCAAGGGGATCTGGGTGTTGGGAGCTCTGGGACAAGCTAGGGCTCATCTCTGATAACAAGGAGGGTGCTGTAAAACTGTACTAACCAGAATTTGGGTGGCTGTTCTGTAACAAAGCAGAAGCTCCAGCCCAGCAGGGTGAGGGTGTGAGTGAATGAGTTTGTGCTCATTCATGGTAGTGGGTGGAACCCTAGCAGCAGTGTGTTGCTTTGGCTGAGTTATGTTTTGCAATTCAAACCCTAGAACGTGGAGGACACTGAATGACCGTGATGTAAGTTTGCTTGCCTTCCTCCTCCATTGGCAAAACCAAGTAAGCTCAATCACTTTTGCTTACTGTCTTCCAGATCTATCAAAAGTACCTCTTTTTTTTAAATTGCGTGTCACAGCACTTCTTTGACCTCTTCTGGTGGCTGAGAGGCCTAGTCCCATGGCATACTGGGTGACATAAAAGAACTTGAATGGCTTTGTGACATTTATCGAAACACCAAAAGTGTGTGGATTGTACAGCAAACTTTTCAGGGTAGCTTATAACTGGAACAACCCACTCCCTCTAGTGAAAGGATTTGCTTATGGCTTTGGTAGCAAAACAGACTTGATGAGGGTAGCCTTGTCCAGGGGCTGCTACAGCAGTGATCCGGAACCTCCTAGAACTGGCATCTGCCCCTGTTATACCAAAGACTTCTTTTGTTGTGCAATTTATTTTGGCCCTTTTGCTAGGTGTGATGTCTTTTGCAAAGACATGGGTATTATGGGGGGAAAACCACAGCAGTGGATGTGTAGCAGTAGGTGCCAGGAAAATTGCAATGTGTAGTACACTATTATAGCAGGTTGATGGTAAAACAGCAACACTTTATAAGGCTGTTTAACCTGCGCTCAAGGTTGACTTTGGAAACAACCAAGCTATGTGGCCATACAGCCATGCAAAACTTGCTGCCAGGTTCTACCTTCACCCAAGTGGCATAGCAAATTCTGTGAAAATTCAGTTTTCTAGTCTAGTAGCTGTCTGTAGCAGAAGTTCTTTCCATTATGCCACATTCATTGAAGGTTCTCTAAGCTAGTTCCTGCAAAGTAGAATGTTTCAGACCCCAGCCCTTGACCGGAACTTTTCCATCTAAGTTTGGTCTTGAGCCAGCCCCTGGATTGTTCCCTACTTTGCCTCTCCCCAGGTGCCATTCTTTTGGTCACTAGATGTTATTTTTACAGTATAGTTTCTACTCTTTCAACATTTTAATCGCAGTCATTTTTGTTACCTGAAGACAAACTGTCAGAGGCTTGTTTATAAACCCCTGCTACACAGCAAGCAGGGCTTACAACTGACACACTCTTGTGTGGCCCAGGCTCCACAAGAGACTAGAAGAGATAAAGGAGGTTATTTTCAGGTGGTGAGGGAGGTCTCCTGTTGTGTACTGCTGTAGAAACAGGTACATTTCAAGTAATTGGCACTGGTGATGACTGCACATCTTACTCTAGACAATGTTGTAGGCTTTTTTGTTGGCTTTCCTGCTTTGTTGTTGGACACAATGTGTGTTGGCTTGTTTGGGGTTTGCGGAGGGGGCTGGAGGGGGGGGTTGCAGAAGGGACAGTAGGGTCCAACTGTTCAAAACATACTGTTTCCCCATTCTTTATTCTGACTGTTGATATGTCTGAAAGAATCCTCTTCCTCCTCCACCCAAACACACCTGACTTTCAAAGGTGCTGGAGTCTTAACCCATATCCAGACCTGAATTTTGCAAATAACCTCTGAATACCTGCTGTAGTGAATGAAAACAAAATTCCAGGTACAAGCTCCCCAGTGTTAGTAATTTGTGATGTAGTAGTAAATGTGGGCTCAGGAGCCCTTTGTTTCCTCTGGTTAGAACTACCAGCAGCATGCTCACACTGAGGTACGGGATTGGTCATAAATGAAGTGAGATAGAGCAGTATTTTCCAACCTCTTCTGGCCCCTCAGCCAATAAACCAAGTCAGAATTGTGCCCATGTTGGCTAACAATTAAATGCTTCAATTGGTGGGAAGCAAGTACTAGGATGCTAAAAAGGTGTACTGGGGAGGAAAAAGGAGAGCTTGTGTTGCTGACAGAACCTCAGTCAGCATTTCACATTGCATCAGTATGGGTTTATGTGTGTAGGTATTTGGAGACCTTTGTTCTGTGTCCTTCGGCAGCACTTTATTGAAAGAATCTGAAGCTAAAGTAAACGCTGACCCACAAGTAGCCTTTGCTCTATGCCCTTCTGCAATCAGCAGCTCTTGCCATCTGTGTTGCATTCTAAGTCTTGTTTCAGTGTTGATATGCTTGCCTTCGAATAATTTTCAGTAAATTTTCCCAGTCTGTGAGTTTGGCAGCTTATCAATGCCTGCACATGCATATTGGAGGAATAAAAATTCAGAGACAGGCTGCAGACAGAGACACTCTGGAGTGTTATTCATGAAAGCCAGCAGTGTTTGGCACACTGGTTGCTGTGGTCTGGTGACAAAGGACAGTACCAAGACACTTGAGGGTCTACTTCAAATTATGTCCACCGTTAAACTATCACTTGGTCTTGCATGAACCAACCACCAAGGTCTGATTTCAAGAAGTCCTGGTGCCAGTGGTTTGTTTCATAGACAGTCACTGCGGAAGGAAGCATGATCCTATGCTGCTACTCACTTACCAAGAAGCTGCCTGGCCCAGGGGATGTATGAATATACCCTCACTCTCTTAAAAGCTGGCACCATTTTCACAGCAGTGCAAGCCTTAGGCTATCTCAAGGGAAACCAGTTTGCACTGTGGTAGGGACATTCCACTCTAGGGATACCCTAGTAGAGCTTATGGCTTAAAAGCTCCTTTGATGCCTGTTATGATGCCCATAGAGCAGGTATATAATATGTAATAGCAATTCAGGCAGTTAGTTTCTCTTTGTGTCATGTCAAATATTTATGCTACAAATCTCAGCTGCCATGTGCGGAAACTTTAGCTGCCCCTTCAGCTCCTACCCATTGAAACAGCATCTGCCATGTCTAGTGCTAATGAAAATACTTTGATGAGCAGATGCTGCCTGGTCTAAAACAAAAACAAAATGCTTTTTCAAGTATTTTCCCTGTATTTTATTATATCTTCAAGGTCTGCCTGTCCTTTCCCTTCTGAAGGGCATCGTATGCCTGTGCTACCATAGAGTGTCAACTCCAAATTTACTCTCTTTTCATTCCCTAGCTCCAGAACTGCAAGAGTCAGTGTCTTTCGTTATGACAGTGGTAGGGTAGTGACAGGCAGGCTGGGTGGGGGTGGCTGACGGTGAGCAAGCCTAGTGACAGGATGGGGTGACTAAGAACCAGCTGGCTAATTAAAGCACAGCAGTGGGAGGAGCAAAGTATTTAAGGGTGCCAGAGAGATGCCTCCACAAATTTCTTGTTACACCTCAGCATCCAAATAGCTGGTTTCTTTAACTCTTTCATGCCTCTTATGAAGTGAAATCAAGGGTCCAGGAAAATGGCACCATTAACTGAAAAGCCTGAATCAAGGTAAGGACATCAGTATGGTTTTTTAGTCACAGTTAGTCATAGGTAGCCCTTCTAGAACTGCTGTGAGCTGAACTTCCAGGGTTTTACATGGCACTGGTGTGTGCTATGACACTGGTAATTGGGTACACTGATGTTCAGGTTGCTTCTTTCATTTGGATATGCTGCTTGAAAAGGTAGGAGATACCAAGGTAGTCATTATGTGGGTTTGTGTTGTCATGAAGGGAAATGGGCAGGCACTCCTTTCCCTGGTGACTGGATCTTTCTCCTGACTATTTTTATGGGAAGGAGGGATTGAAAGCAATTCCTGAATACTGATTCTGAGGAAGTTGCAAAAATGAAAGTGATAAGAATGCATGTGGAGTTCCCAGCGATATCCAAGTTTGGTCACCCGAGGCTGGAAGAGTCAGAGGGAAGTGAAGATGAGGATGTAATTTTCAGCTATTTATAGAGATGATTCGAATGTCAGACTGTTGGTTATTCCAGCAGTTTGGTTTTCTCAGAGCTTTTTCAGTACTGAGTAGAGGAGTTCTTGTTACAGTGTGTAGGTGACCTTAGGGGCAGCACAGTCCAACAAGGCTATCAAGCCAGCACTCCAGCCTGAACTCTGGCAGCCATGGGTTTGCTGTCTAGCCTGGATGTGTAACAGTAGCCAGCTTTCTGAGTTTTGCTGGAACCTTTTTGTGCTTGATTTCAGGTAGATTAATCAGTTTCCTGGTAATTTTTGTAGTGTAGCAATGCTTCAAGGTCAGCAAAGGCTAAGGAAAATGACCCTGTCTAATTTCAACTTGCATCCTTAGGCTTGTCAAAAGTGTGTTGGAAGTACTTCATGCCTGGATCCCCATATGCATTGGCTAGACTTAGCTTTATGTGGTTCCCTGAAGGTCACTGTAATTGTGTGTAAATGAGACCAACTCTGAAACTGGTTTTACTTATTCTGAAACTACAAAAAGCAATCTGTAAGACTGATATATGCACCTTGTTATGATGTGCTAGCTTAGCTGATTTCAGATGTTGCATAGAATAGAGACCTGACTCTCCCATCTCTGTATGAAATAGGAATATCATTTATATACCTTGGAAAGTGTTAGCTGTTGCTTACTGAGTGCTTGTGCAGAGCTTCAAAACTGCTAGTGCTAGCAGAGGTTAAGAAAATATTAATGTTTGTTGTCACAATGAGCACTGTTGTCACAATGCCTGTGCAATTCCTTTGCCTTACACTACTAGGAATCTCAGGATATGTCTGGGATGGCATAAGGTGACCTGTAGCATTAAAGTTTCTGGTTTATGTGTCAGGGGTGTATCAGAATCTTCTGTCTACCCTCATTTTTGTGAAACATTTGTAATCTGGATTTGAACTTTGTGACAGTATTGAATCTCTAATTAGTATTTCTACTTAATGCAACTTCCTTTTATTTACTACTTCACCATTTGAGAGTGTGGAACAGAGGTGAAGACAGTCTTTGTAGTCTTTGTTATACAAAATCATGTAAGAGAAGCTTCTGGATGTTCTTTAGATGATCTAATTGATTGTATTTATAGAATGCCATTCACTGTAGTAAATGCAATGTAGTGTTTGTGTCCCACAATCTTGCAGTCAGCTGAATGGATTCATTGTTATACATAATTAGAGCTTCTGGAATTTGGGTCTGTTTATTTACATCGATTGTTCTGCAGAGGCGCAAGTGGCCCCATATCAGAGGTGTACAGAGAGCAAAGTGTGGCACAAATAGCAGCACCCCAGCTGCATAGCTCTTACAAGTAGTCTCACAACAGCTTGAACCCTATGAATCTTTTGTTTCATCCAGCTGAAGTCTAAAACCAGCTTCTTCTTGGCTAGGTGTGGTCATTGCAGATTGTCTAAAGGTAAATCTGATGTCATTGAATTATTTACCCCTTAACTGTAAATAAATCCTAATTTCAGTATTTATGTGCTCCCTGCCCAAATTCCTGTAGGAGTCTCAGTTAAGTGTCCTGGATGCTCCAGGCTGCATTATGCTGTTAATTTCTTTACAGCTTTCCCTTGAACTGGTGGCCTGAGAGCTGTGCCCAGTGCGCTCCCTTGTACAGGATGTACATCAGGCTGTTCGTAATCTCGGCTTCTGCTGCTCTCAGATGCTGTGCCTCATGTCTCCTGCACAGATGAATATGGGATTTTATTTAAAATACCATAGAAATCTTTATTTTCCTGTCTGAAGTTTTAAAGTGTTCGTGTGAGCTGCTTGGGTGTATGGGTGTGGCACAAAGGCATGTGTTTCTTTAGCAGACAGGAATGCTAGGTGGGCCACAGCTACTGTTACCATGATCTCAGCCGTGGAACACAAAAAAGAGAGAGTAACCATGGCAGACTCTGGAGGAAGTCAGAGCTCAGTCAGAGTGTATTTAAAAAAATCTAGTGTCATGAGAAGAAAGGTTTTTGACTGTAAAGCTTCTGATAGCAGTTATCCGGACGGAACTGGTGATGCACTGCATGTCAAGTTACTCTTCTGTCTGTTCTGTGCCAAACAACCCTCTGGATGGCTGTTTCCCAAACCCTGTGTCTGTAGTAGAGCAGAAGGTTGATGGCTCAAGAAGGAGGCACCTTTCACACCCTCCCCCTATGCCCCAGCCCTGCATGTGTAAGTTATAACCAGTGGCTGATATGAAGTATTCCAGCCTATTTCTTTGCAGGGAGGTCCCTGTAGACATCAAATCACTGTGTGAACTAACACTGACCAAATAATTGGTTTTAATATAAAGGCCAAAATTAGAATGGACCAAAAAAGCCAATTTATCTTTTAAACTTTGCTTTTCAGCTGTTGGGCAAATCAGGTATAGGCTTTGCTGTCTGGTTTTGTTGCATTAAGCAGAGTTTAGACTTTGGACTGTCAAGCTTTTGCAGTCTTCTGCTATTTGCCGTATTTTAATGAGATGGGTGGCAATGTGCAGACCAGTTGCTTTGGAAATGCTTGTTCACAGGGTTGCAAAATGAAGACCCATTGCAACCATCTTCTAAAAATGAGTGTATGGGATGAGTGCAAGGAGGAAGAGCTGCTTAAAGAGAAAAATCATGTCGGTACAGATCAATTTAACTGTAGCTGTTCATGCATTAGGTTGCAAATGAGAAACAGCATTCAAACCATAAGAGGAAGAAGTTCCAGAGCAGGCTTCCAGGAAGACCACTGGAGGCAGGAAGCCTTACCAGTTCTAAGCTGGAATGTGAAATGTTCTTGCATAGGATTGTATGACACAGTTGCCTGCAATAGCATGGGAGTAGGCCTGATGACCTAGGAGATCCTTTTCTGTTCCCTGCTCCAAAAGTGGTGACCTTGAACTGAGTTAACTCAGGTTGCAGCTAAAATTTGTTTGCTTCAAAGTAATTGATGACTCTAAGATGACTTAGTTCAAAAGCATTTCTGAGCTCTTAAAGCCACATCTCCTAGTTTACATTTCCTGGTTGATTTTTAAAAGTGGCATATTCCTCTTAAATTGCAGAACTGCTGCATGTGACCCAGATAATTTTGTCCATTAGGAAGGAAACAAACATGTACCATATTAAAAAAAAAAAAAAGGGACAGTGATACTGCATATGAAATGTGCTGTTGTTTATTCTAACAGCTCTAAGCTCAATTATTTATAAGTATACCTTATGCATGCTTCTGTTGAATGCTGCCATTTACTTCGTTGAGCGAGCTTTCACTGCTCCCACTCACTGAAGAGCATGGGGAAGCTGTGGTCTTGTACAGAATTGCTGTGATTCTTCTATGTGCACTGCTTGCTTATTCATAGTCTTTTCATGACATTTATTCTTAGAAGCATAATGTCCTCTGAAGGAATAACAGAATGTTCTTTAACCCTTAAAATAAAAATGACAGGCAATGTATTCCTCTCAGTATTTTAGGATAAGAGAATAATGATTCTTGGAGAGAGAGCTGATTGCCTGGGTTAACCTGAAGCTGCCTCCTGTATGCTAGCTTTTTTTTTTTTACTTGTCACATTTTATGTGATACAAAGTGAGAAGTACAGAGGAGATGTGCTTTCCAGCAAGTTCTTCTAAGAGGAGGAACCTCCTGGTAAGAGGCACTAGCTGCAGTGCAACCCTTTGCCCACTTCCCAGATTTGTGACTCCACATTGCTGGCGTGGCTGGTTGAGCAGAGCATCTTGGTCAGGGACACTGGTGACAACGTAGGAAGAGGTCTGAGTCCTGGGGTAAATGAATGAGTGCTGTCAGTGATGTGTGAGACCTGACCAGGTGAAAAGCAAGTTTTGTGATTGCAGATCATACCTTTAATCTAAAAGATTACCATTTTTCTAAAAGCTTCAACTCCTAGATTATCCTAATATAAATAAAACTTTTATTTTTTCATTTAAGTGCAGCCACAAAGCACTTGAAATTCTTGAATATAGAGAGAAAACTTTGAAAATGTTAAAAACTTGGAACTGAGAAAATAAAGCAGGAGTCCAAGTGTCAGGAGTATAGGAGAACTGCGCAATAAGTTTTGAATGCTTGTCTCATGCTTAGCAGTTGTTTTAAAATCCTACGTGAGTCATCAGAGCTGTCAATAATAACAAAAGAAGAAACAAAAGGAAATTACTTTTCCCCACACACACATTAGATCACCAAAAATAACCACCACTTGCAACTCTTAGTGGAGATAGCAGTGACTTAAGAGCATGTGTCCTTGCTTGGAACTATTAATGAGCTGTTTGTTACCCCCCTGCCATTGTAGGGGGAGTACTCAAATGTTTAGCACATGTGAGATAATCCAGAGACATGCTGTGCAGTAGTTGCCACTTATCTGCATTCCTCCTGACTAGGCTTCTAAATGCCCTGTTCTCTTTTCCACACCAAGTAGGGAAGGAGCTACAGCCGTGGAAGAAATGGGGGTGGAGAGTGGGGTGGTGGTGGAAGTGAGAAAGGAAGCATTAAGCATTCGTCTAGAGGTATGACTGAGCTGGCAAGTAGTTGGTGGATGTTACATTTGGACATTGGCATGTTCAAGGGTACAGCTGCTTGCTTATGCCCTGAGGAATTAATTACCTTTCATTGTGTTTTGAATGTCTGCAGCTTTGAAACCTTTGTTGCTATGTCTGTTACATTTCAGGAAAGGCACTAGTTCCAGTCTGTCAAGGAGACACATAGCAGGGAGCTGGAAGGAGACACTTGGGGGTTCTGGAGGTTTGTTGGGGTTTTTTTAGTTGTTATTTTGTTGTTGTTTTTGTTTCGCTTGTACTGATCTGGCAGTACTGGTTCCTCTGTTTTTAATACTGACAGATCTCATTTTTGCTTCCCTTGGAAAGGCTCCCTTCTGAAGCACTGCTGTGCGTATTTCATGTGTATCTATAGGAACGGCTTGGCCGTTATCTACAGGAAGTTCTTGGGAACTGGGATCCAGGTCCACTTGCTTCCGCAGCCCACAGACAGCTTTTCTGGTCAACCTAACAGGAACTGATGTTGTCTAAGGATTTACCATCCGAAGACTCACAGCGCAGTGATTAACAGCATGTAAATTCCCAGGTGTTAGAAGGCAACACTTTGTTATACTGGGGCCATGGACCACGTATCTAGTCCCAACAGCAGCCTTTTGGCTAAAATAGGCCTAATAGGACTTCAGTATGTGTTTCAGGTTAAGCATGTAGAAGACAGGTAGAATAACTCTGTAGCTCTGATGCAAACAAAGGCACTGAAGCATGTTCTTTTCTTCAAACATGCACCATGATTTCCTCAACCTAAACAGCAGTTATTTCTACCTGCAGCAGATCTGTATGCAGGTCCTCAACTGATCAAAATCAACTTTTAAATGGAATTTCTGGAACTATAGGTGCTCAGGATTGATTATGCTTAGCCTGAGCATTGCTGAATCCATTCTGTGTATGGGAACCTGCATTAAGTATCTGTTTGAGTGCTTGAATAATGTTGATTAGTTTCACAGTAAGTGAACACTGAAAGCTTGCTATTTTAAATTGAATTCCATAGTTGTTAAGTGTGGTGATATGTGGAAAAGTGTTTTTCTAGATCTAGTTCTAATGAGTTTGTACACCTCCTACGTTTAATTTTAGCAAACTTCTTTAAGTATCACTTTATTTTTAACCTTGAATCACTTCTTCTGGAAAGTAATTTATTCTTTTAAGGCCAAATAATTGTGCTTTTTTTTGGTGTGAATTCTTTGCTTAATGCTTTCCTTAATGCAATGAAGGCCAGCACTGTAAGCAGTGTCAAGACTCTTGAATCAAAAAGACATAACTGAAAATCAGGTTGATGGCAGTTGTGATGTCACTGTTTCTAAGTAGAGTTTTTTAAACTGTCTGTTTCTAAACAGGCCATTTAAAAACTTGGGCTCACAGGTTTAATTGCTTGGATACTGCCATTGTGGAAGGGGACCAGTGTTGCTCTTGGGACTGCAGCAGCAGTGGACCCTGCCTTTGCCTGGGCATGTGAGCTAGTATTTCTTTTTTCCCCTCCTGAAAAGGTATTAGACTAGATTTCACCAATCCCACCATCCCCCTTACATCATTAAGCTGGGCTCAGCTTTTGTTGTTGACTAGTTTTAGACTGTGCCCTCCACTTCACACTGTATTTTACTGGGATCAGCTTGGAGTTATGCTGCATGATGCTGAATGTTCACCAGCCCATATGGTTATTTTAACAAAGAAAATATAAATAATTAAGTGTTGGCAGCTGTTGCTTGGTGCCATGTTGGTTTTACGGACTGATCTGTTACTATATTTGCTTGTTGAATTTTCTTTTATTTCCTTTTGGATATCTATTGAATATACTCATTATGTTCTGGCTGGTATGAAACAAATGCTAGTTAAGAATGGGGATACTTTTGAAGCAAGAGAGCAAATTCAGGTCCCTGAGGGCAATTTCCACCTCCTACAATGTCCCACTGCTGGCTTCGGTTCATGTAACGTGAAAACAAGTATCTCAAACTCTCTAGTTTCTTGTTAACATGAGCAGTTTTTCCCTATAATTCACAGATTAGGGTATTTGTTTATACATGATTTTGTAGCTTCAGATACCTATTTCTATTCATGTCATAGAAGCCATTAATTGACTGTAGTGAGTCTTGATCTCACTAACTTCAGCACCAACTTTTGAGGGGAGTGAGACTGAAACATAAAATTTAAGGTCATTGAATTCAACCTAGGTCCTTTACAGAGTTGAGAGATCCTGGCAAGTATGCCTTGTTTTCTAGAAATGCTGCTTTTTGAATGTTCAAACCAACATCTCTGATGTGACATTTGAATGTGTTCTTTTGCTGCAGATATCAAGTCCTTACAGGAGTGGGTACTGGGTATGAATGGGACCCATTTGTGTCCTGTGTAGACTGTCAGGACCATGATAATTGACTTTTTTTTTCTTGTTTGACCTCACCTGGAAGTTTTTCTCTTGAGTTAGTAGTTTCACTGCCTTTGGTCCCAGGAGGATTAAAGATTCAAATTTTGCTTGAAAATATAAGTGGCACTGCAGGACTGGAAATGGTTGGTGCAGAAGTTAAGCATTTTGACAAGTATATCTCTTTTGTATTGTAACATCTTTCAAAGGAGACACTGACTGAGCAACAGATGGCCTTGAAATCTAGCAATAGTCTAAGTCTAGGGGTTTAACTTAAAGCTTTTAGTTTCACTGAGGTTGTTTTTTTTTTCTTAAAGGTAATTCATATTTTATATATTAGAAGCTTGCTGGATTTGCACTTTGCCATATATAGAGTGCTGGTCTTTAATCAGTACTTTATGATTTAAGGTTGAGGATTAGTCTTAAAGTCTGAAAGTAGTACCTATATTGGGTGGAAATAATCTTTAGTTTCTGGTAATTTTCAGGAAAAAAATGTAACTGGTGGTTGACATAAATCCATTTTGGTTTTGAAACTAAGTTTTTTGAAAAAGACCTGTGACTGTTGCCTGGACTTTCCTAATGAACGTTCAGCATCATGCCCAGTGCTGTCTGGGTAGACATGGAACATAACATAACCATTCTGCCTTTCACTTTAAACAGACATAAACAGAATCAAGAAGTGAAAAAGGCAAGACCCTCTACGACAATGAGCTCTCGTAAGTCTCTGTTGTTTTTCAGTTGCCCTCCTTGGCATTCCTTTTTATTACTAGAAATATTCCTCTCTATCTAATGCTGTTGTGCAATTGCTCTTTTTCTTCGTCTCTTTGTTTGGTTGGTTTGGGTTTTTTTTGGGGGGGGAGGGCTTAGAGGGGGCTTTTTTTGTTTGCTGTTGGTTTTGGTGGGCTTTTTTATGGGTTTTTTTTGCTTTTTTTGTTTGTTTGTTTTGTTGGTTTTTTGTTGTTGTGCTGGTTTGGTTTTGGGGGATTTTTTTGCCTCGTCTTCTGCCTCCCAGAAAAGCGTTAAAGCTTGTCAAGAAAGCTCTGGGAATCTGAGTTATAATGGCAACAGTGAATGGCTTTGTACTAAAAAGTGTCTTGGCTTCATGTTTCTTGTTTCAATTTGGCCCACAATGGTCAAAAAATGATTAAAAACATCTTGAGGTTATCGTCTTTTTTAACTTCATAATACAAGAATTCAAAATTACCTGGAAAATAACCCCTGAATTTGATATGTTTTAGTAGGGGTGAATGCAAAGTTTGACACCTGGATAGGAAAGGTCAGCTGTTCAAGAAAAAAAAAAAAAGAGGCTGGTTGGGAAGAAGAAAACTTCTGGCTTGTCTTGGTGACAGGCTAAATTAGAGTGAAAAACAGACACCATAATGAAGTGAGATATGTAGTACCTGTGGAATAATATTCCCACCTGATTTTAGCAACATCTCCTGAGATAGTAGGAATACTTCATGAATCAAATAGTGCTGATGCATGGCATCCCCTCATAGTCAGAGGTTAAATTCAGTTGCACAGGTTTTAACTCAGAAGTAATCTGCTTCTTCATTTGTCTTGCAGAACACGAAGAAACTGACGTTGCAAAAACTGTTGTTAATGGGCTGAGCAGCAACGGACGAGAAAAAGGTGGGTTAAGAGTTTCAGAGACATCTCTGCAGCTCCCCCTGCATGTCAGCTGAGTGATGTGGTTAATTTCCCTAGACATTCACTGCAGCAGCGGTTTCCAAACTTAGTTTGCTTGGCTACTGATACAAGAAAAGCCTTGTGCTGCACTGTGCCAGTAGCAGCAGCATTTCTTAGCTGAACAAGTGTTCTTTGTCTCTTGAACGTGTAAAGATGGCTTTGCCTCTTCATGTATTTTGTGCACTATTTGTGTTACTTGTGAGCACCTGTGAATCAGTATTAGTGTGTTTAGAGAGCATGGGCTTGCGGATGCCTATGTGTGAATCCTGTTAACTTCAGTAGGAGATGAAATTTTGAGCCCAGGATTAAAGGGCAGGAACTAACCATTCAAGTAATAAAATAAAAAAAAAATCTAAAACCAGGCTTCATGTTAACTTCAACAGGTTTGCAGTGTGCTTTATAGCATTCAATTTTGTATAGTGATGCTGTGTGTTTTGGCAGGCTGAGAGTATATGGTCGTATAGGTTGGTTCTCTGCTGGTTTAATTTCCTTCTCTTTTGATGCCTTTTTATAGTGGTTAGTATTTTAACTGCATTGTAGACGGATGAATTCAGTCACTTACTGTGTAAAACACAATTAGGATTGTTTCCTAAACCACAGGCTGTTTGGATTTGGGATCTATTGTATTTGCAAGGCCTACAGTACTCAGGAAGAAGGATGGAAAACAGAGTTTGATCTGTGTTATTCATCTGTAAAAAAATAATTTAAAACAATCCCATCAATGAAAAAACTCACGATTTTGAGGTTCGAAAACATTCTACCAAGCTCTTCCCACATCTGTTGAGAGCCTTGAGAGCTCTCTTCTAGGTTGGTGGTCTGCGCTTTTCAGTTTTGCCAGGGACCAGAGAGATCTGCCACAAGAGGGGGTGTCCACACCACCCTGATGTGGATGCCTCTTGGTCTGGCCCAGTGCTCAGAATCAGTGTGTAAAGTATTAGAAATGTGGTTCCTCTTACTCCTGATTTCGCAGGCCTCTGAGGGATGGCATGGAATGTGAGAAAGCACCTAGCATTTCCCATTTAATACATGCAGAAAGCTAATAGGTTTTAAAGGAGAAAATCCTGGCTCTTCAGAAATCAAGAACAAAACTCAAGTTATTCTGGGGGATCCATGATTTACAAGATGTTTATCTTGGCATATCCTGTTGAGCTTCACCTCTGAGTAGTTTTGCCTCATTTTTTTTAAAAAACACCTGCACCCACTAGCTGCAATACAGAGTCAGAGAGAGCAATCACTGCCTGGTTTGGGCAGTTTTGTAACAGTTGCTAGAATTTTGCACAGTGCTATGTATGGTTTTTCCCCTGTGCTACTACACCTAGTATAATTAGTGTGCTAGCTGATGGATGCCAGTAGAAATTTCTTCAACTTACTGTTTAAAAGGATGGACTTTTTTCTCAAATAAGTATTTCGATGCTGCCCTTTGGCATTGAACAGTTTTTAAGATTATTTCACATTTCACTTCCTTCTGTTGCTGAACTTATAAAATACGTGCCATAAAATACAGAATTCATGTAATGTGTCCGATGTTCCTCTCTCAACCTTTCAGTCCTTGTTTTTTTACTTTTGTTTTAACTGAGTCATATTAATGTTAACATTTTTATTTTTGCATGTAGTGTATCTCAGCTAAATTATTACACTAAAATTTTTTGATGGCTTCTAAAGAACTAATGCTTCCAGATTCTTTTTGCCTGCAGCATAGTGGCAGTCAGCAGTTAGTCAATTCAGTAAGCAGTTCTGTATGCAGCATAAAACAGACATGTCCTGAATTAGGGCGAACGAAGGGATATTTTTAACGGTTGCATCACTGCTCTCTGGACTGCTTTTGTATTTGAAATTTCCTGCTATTGTGTCTCCAAGTACATTAGAAAATTTTGTGGCATGCTTCCCAAACTCTGCTCTTCCCTTTTTGGATGTGCCATTTACACTTTTGTGTTTGCAGCTGTTGATGTCCCTTTATGTACACGCTCTATTTCTGCCGTTAAAATAATCCCTGTGAAGAAAGTGAAAAGTTCTCCTCACCTAGTGCTGCCTACAGGTATCTTCTTCTATCCTCCCCCTGCCATGCATTAGTTTGCCATCATTCCCTCCTCTTTTTCTCTCTCCTCCTCCTCCTCCTCCGTAAAGCTTTCTGCTTCACCCATGTGCTTTGGCTAGTTTTCAGCTTCATGCTCTTCTCACTGTTTCCAGAGCTGTAGATTTCATCAGTAGGTAATAAAGTTAGCTCTTAATGGCACGGTACATTGTTCTCAATTATGCTGCTCTTCTGCAGACATAATTGTGTCTGCTTGAATCTGGGATTGTTGTAAGCTCTTCAACTAATGCTTGATTATGAATAATATTGTTATTACAGCCTCATTTTGAACCAAACTCCTGATGAACCAGAGAATGTTTCCTGCATATCTTTAGTCTTTATGAAAATGAATAGATGTCAGAGATGGGATTTTACAGGTTCAGGCATAGTTCAACATTGGTTGGATGGGTTTGGTTTTCTGTACATACACTGACTTTACAGAATCTTTATACAGATGAATAAGGATGTTAAGCTGTATGTCACCCCCTCCTCAAGCACATTTTCCCACTAAAAGTAGAAGAATATTTTTGTACTTTGCTGGATTTGCACAGTCAGAGTAGTCTAGCTGATACTGCTTGTCTCTCCTAATCTGTCACGCATGTGCTCTGTTGGATTAGTATAGTGCCAATGTCATGTTTATTACCATCTGCTGGATTTCTGTACTGAGAGATTCAGATTTTTGTTTTCCATCATCTCGCCTAAATTGTGAAGGAATTCAACATCTTAAATATTTGTATTCCTCTCCCAAGTTGAAATAGTCTGACAATATTTTATTTTCAAAGCTTTTCAGAACATTTTCATTTTTCTGAGTTCAGAACACTTTTTTTCTCATTCTTGTTCTTCTGATTCGGTATACAGCTTTAGTATGTTGTATGAAAATAAAGTACTTTGATTCCCAAATTTGATCCTGCTCCAATATGATATAGACATTTATGGCTTCTTGAACTCTTTATGTGTTTCCATTTCTCCAGTGCCTGTGAAGGGAATCTAGGTGTAGGAGCATGAGAGAACCCTGTACTCTTTGTGATTGTCTAAATCAGGCCTGGTGACCCCTAACAGTGTGTCCATGCCTCAGAATTACAGCGATCTCAGTATTGAATTGCCAGAGCTTAAACCTTTGTCCTCTGATGTGAGTGTATCCATTAGAGTCCTTGGATGTGTTATGCTGTGTGTATGGGAATGATAGAACTGGATTCTTGGGCAAAAGGAATCCTAACCCTATCTGGATCATGCAAAAGTCAGTCAGGGAAGTCAACTTCTATTTTACCAGGCATGTGGGTAACCTTAAGGCATGATCAGTTGTGTGGTGTCAGGGCAAATGTGGTATATTTAAGGATGAAGAGCATTTGATATGTCTTTGTGGATAGTCTTTCCCCTCACCCAGGCTGCCTCTGTGCTGCCTAAATTAACTAAAGGCTGAACTGTAGGAAAGTATCCTCTGATTCTGTACTTATTCCATCCTTTCTCAAGTCGTAAGTGTGGATCTGAAACTATGCTTTTTGTGAAATCTCTAAAGCATCGGAAGCCATGTAAAAGCCTGAACTGCGGTGACTTCAGCATAGAGGACTTTCCATGTGAGCCAAGTGTTCAGCGTTAGTTGAGTCTTTCCCCCTACCACTGTTGTTCATCTGGCACTATTAATGTTTCCTTATATTATGCCCAGCTTGGCTGTGATCTGATTTTAACCTTAGTTGAGGCGTTATCATGGTCTATAGGCACTGTACTGGTGTGATTTTAATGGGGCATTATCTTCCTGGAGTCAGCCAGGGAATACTGATCTGCAAAGACATCAGCTGTTGTCTAGGCAATGAGTGGCAGCCTTTGCCCGCTCTGTTCAGTCTGAAGACGTAACTGCCCAGTGCCATCCCCGTGGAGAGATAGTATGATCCTCACCCCATAAAAATAAAAATCATCATGTTGTGTAACACAGTGTATATGCTCAGTACTTCTTCAGGCTCCCTGTGTGGTTGCATGGTAGGACCAGCACCTCTGTTTAGATAGGTCAGAGTGAAGCCTGATGGCAGCTGCAGGGTCAGTAATAGTGCATGAGAAAGGGAGGTGATGTGTTTTCCTGTGGAAGTAGCTTAGATAAGTGAGAGACTCTTTAGGCTTATTTTTTCTATAGGTATCTTGGCAGAAACAGCTCTCTGGAAGGATTTTAAGTAAGGGGAGAAAGATAACATTGAAGTACTGATTTGTTATGACTTTAAAGGATGATAGCAGATTTAAAAAAACAAACAAACAACACCCACCAACCCCGCCAACCCCCACAGAAAAAAAATAAAACAGCAACAAACCAACAAATCCATGGACTGAAGTGCACAAAGGTAAAGCTGCACAGAAGCTGTGCTGAATTGGGCCTCAGCAAGGGTGCTAGCGTGATCTAGTGTTTGGCTCACAGGGTGATTCGAGTGCGTATATGCTGAGTCTCCTATTTTGGGGGGTTTTGATTCCAATGTCAGAAGATGAAACACTGCCGTGAAATGGGGGGAGATGGCAAGTAGACGGCTTGCAGCGCCCTGCCTTTAGATCATACTCAGTATAGTTACAAGATTTTATCCACCAGTGGTCATAAGACATTTTTTTTTCTCTTTCAGTCCTGCACAAAAGACATATTTAAGGCTTCAGTACACAAATCATATTGCTTTATACCATTGGGACATCCCAACAGAAGAACTAGAGGTGCAATGGTAGAATGTCCTTCTTGGTACAATATATCCATACAAAGCTGACCAAATAAAGCAAATGGGCCTGTGAAATTTGGTTCAAACACTCATTCAATTTTCTTCCTTTCTCAGCTCTGTTACACTGACTCCAAACTTACTTCTATATTCATCAGTTACATGACTGTGAAACTGCTTTGATTTCTCAATGCTTTAAATCCAGAGCTAATCTTCATCTGCATAAACATTACTAGATTGGTTCACCCAGAGGCAGCCATGCTAAAATTATTCCATAGAGCTCTGATGGATCCTAATAGCTTTGTACCATCTGTTTCAATATGTTTTCTCTGTGTATGTGCATTTCCTATAGAAACAGATTCCACTAGAGTCTGCAGTGGAAAAGGAGCTGTGACCCTCCGGGCATCTCCAGCCTGTCAGGAGAATCAGAATATCACTTTGCCATGTCCTCAGAATGTTGAGCAACCTGAAAGTAAGTGGATGGAATGTTAACAGGAATACCTTAATCTCAAGAGAGGTCAGTCCAGGGTCTTGGGGTGACTCTGTTTTAGCTACAGTTTAAAGCCCCAAATTCCAGTAGCATGGTCAGAAACCTCTGCAAGAACCAGGCCAGTGGAGGGAGACTGAACCCTATTCTTTCTTAGTGCCAGTTTGATGACTGCTGACTCTTTGGCTTAAGTTTGTTTACAGCTCCCTTTTGCTGTCAGGAGCATAGAAACCTCTTTCAGATAAAACTCTCAGATGTTGTTTTATTATTATTTTTTTTTCTCCTGGCAGGCCTATGTCACCTCCTTTTATCCCAGACCCAAGGTTAACAGAAAGAGGGCGGGTGATGCTCCTGCCACTGAAGCATTCACTTGGGTTGTCAAGGGATGGGGATAGAGTCCCAGACAGACAGTGTCGCCACAGAGCTGTGCCATCTTTCAATAGCAGATGTGTAATTACTTAATTGTAGGAGACAGGCAAAGCATAACAAATCTGGCTGGTGTTTTGGGTCTGGCAGAGGGGATGAAGTCCTAAGGGCACGATGCAGTTAAGAGGAGGGGGGAGTCAAACTTACTCTTGAAAGCAAAGCATACGTCATTTATGAATGTATTGTTGGAGGAAAGGCAGTTCCATTAATTCCAGCTCCAATGTGCTGCTTTCTGCTCTGTCTTCTCTTCCTATTCTGCTCCACCTATGACCTACCCTTTTTTCATGCTTGGCATTCTCTGTTTCTTCATTCCTACCCTCCACAATTGCCTCTTTCCTTTTTGTTGATGGCTTCATAAATTTCCAGCAGCTTGAATGGCAATGAGCCCATTACTATGGAAATCAGCTCATTAATACTTCCTTTGCTTAGTCTCCCAATCACTTTATGAAATGTACTTTGGAGCTGGAAGAGCTTTTTGTGTATAACTTAAGCAGCAAAATGGGTAGAGGGGTACGGAGGAGCCCAGTGGGAGTGTGGGTAAATACGTGATGAGACCAATGCAGGTCACTGCAGTAACCGGGCTATAAAGTGACACTATTTTGTAACTCCGTTCATGCACACACATTTAGACTGCAAAACCTGATCTAGTTGTTAGCAGTCCTTTGTCTCAGTTAATCACACATAGTGAATTTGGTAAGGATGGTTATGTCTTTGTAGCCTGTGTTATGGCTGAATAGGGGATCCCTACATTTCCAGTAATTTGTGGTGCCTGGATGTCAAGCTGCAGCTTTAGAAATTAGCAAGCTGGGCTGCCTTTTTGCCTCTGAAATAAGAATGTCAATGAACAATTGTTTCTTCATTGCTCTGAATGAATTGCCTTGTGTTTACAAAGGTCAGAAACAAGGAGGGCATCATGTTTAGGGCTGGTCTCTATGGTAATTAGGCAGCCCTGTCAGAAAGCATTCTATGTGTGAAATGAAGTAGCTCAACTCTTAACTTCAATTGGTACATGTTTTCTGTAAATGTAACGGTTTATCCCCCCCCCCCCCCTTTTCTCTATGCCTATTCTCCACCCCCACCTCTTCCATCCCTTCTTTCTGTGAAATGCTTAGGTCTGGAGCCAGAAAACCCAGAAACAGGTACAAACATTGGCTGCTTATGTTGTTGCTTCTGTTGCTTCTTGGGAGTATTTCTTGTTGCCTGGAAAAAAACAAAAGGGAGGCGGGGGGGAAAGAGGAAGAAAAGAGTCCCCTCCTTTCATTTGTACTGTAGCTGGAGAGAATTCTCTGTGATCTGTTTTCCTTCCCCTCAGATGATTGGAGGTCATCATCTAACACTGATGCCAATGGGGATGCCCAACCATCTTCCCTGGCTGCCAAGGGTTATAGGAGTGTGCGTCCGAACCTTTCCTCAGACAGCAAACCACAGGTAAGCCTTTCTTCTGTGACTCTGAGGGTGCTCTTCTGAGTACAAGCACTGGATTCATGGTCAGGATCCCTGGGTCAAACTCCAGACTCTGCTGCAGACTTCGCTGCAGACTTCGGTAAGTTTCAGCTTGCCTCCACTTTTCCTGCCTTTAAAATGGGGCAACACTGATATGACCAGAGTGCTGTGGAGCTTGTGTGTTCAGGCATGCCACAGTATTTCCTTGGTGGATGAAGGAGGAGGACAACACTATCTGATTGGAAGAAAAAAGGTGAAGTAGCCATCTAGTACTGTTTTGAATTTTATGTTGGTATATTTCCTAGAGGTTGCTGCAGGTTGAAAGCATTATTAAATTAAAAACAAGATACTGGGGAAATGCCTTTCATTCTTAACACTGTAACTGATAGAAGCCAACAAGGGAAAGGTTATTTGTACCTGAAGGTGAATGGTTGAAATCAATCTGTTAAGAGTAACTTCATCCTTTTTCTATTGGGCAGTTGGTCTGCACAGTCTCAAAACTGGTAAGGAAACCCTTCATTAGAAACCACTTTCCCATGTGAAACAAGTCTCTTTAAAGCCTTGTCCTCTATCAGGGACCTATAGCAATGCTGCAGGACAGTGTTCCTGAAATGGTAAGTGACAGTGGAAGGAGGCACAACTTGTAGGAAAGCATAAGAAGGAGCAGCACCCTAGAGGAGAAACCCATTTACTGCCTGATACAGCTGTCCTGTAGTCCATTATCGACCTCGTCGATGAACACAGAGAGCACTGATGCACATAGTGATTTCTATGGAAGTTTCAAGGGCTGTTGTCCAAAATAAGCTGAAGTGGAAGAAAATGGAAAACAGCAGTTTTAGGTGGAGAATTGTTATTTCCTGATAATACTGTGTAGCAGGAAAGTGAGGCTTCCCCTAACCTAGGGGAAATACAGTGGCATTCTGAAGTTTCCAGACTGAAACTACTGTCCTTAAGGAATCAAAAGGAATGAGTCTGTTCCAGAAGCAGAAGCCCTTCAGAAGAAGCACTTACCAGCCCAATTCTCCTCTCCCTTACATATGAGGAAAGTGGAGGGAAGAGTTGCAGCATGAGGACAGTAGCTTTTGGGACAGCAGCTGTAATTTTATGAAGCTGTTCTAGGTCTATATCCATGTAAGAATAATACATGCTGGCTGCAAGTTGTCATATGTAGAAGAATTATAAAGGAGGTATATTTGTCAGGTTTGAATATTGCAAGCTGTTAAGGCATCTTCATTTTCTGATTTTGGCCATTTTAGCAGTGGTTTAGCCAGCCTTTGCCTATAAAGATATGACAACAGGGTAAAACCTACTTTCATGGTCTCCAGAGGGTTAAATTTCAAGAATTCAGGGAGCTACTGTTCACTAGGTGGGTGTTTTAATTCTCTTCCTTTCAGTTGTTTATAGTTTTCAGCCACTGGCAACAAAGCAGTAAATAAAATAAAACTTCTCTATTGCTGATTTTTTTTTACTTCAAAATGGTTTGGCTTTCGGAAAAAAATTGCTGGAGTTGAAGTTGACAGGCATTTCTGCATTTAGCAACCTGTATGTTGCAAAGTACTAAAAACAGTTAAGTTGTTCATTACTTACTAGAAGTAGGATTTCTCTGTTGGTGATCTTGATTCTGAAGGCAAATTCTTATGAATTCAGTTCATCATGAAACTTTAATTGTTCTTGTCTTCCTGGAAGCATTTTCAGGATGGAAAAATCCTGAAGAGAATTCAACAGCTAGCTTTTAGAAGGAAGAAATGCTGACTTTTTACTTAGCCAGCTGTGGCAGTCTATAATATTCACATGGTGTCTGCTTTCATTAGCACTTGTGAAACTTTGCAGTGTTCATTTTTTAGCAGCGCACTTAACATGCAGAGATGGCCTAGAGCTCTGAATTTAGCATAGTGATTCTGATGTCTCCAGTGGGAAGTATTTAGTTATACAGACAAGAGCCTGGGTTTTGTTAGGCAGGATGTTAAATCTTGACTCTAGCTTCCCAAGGGGCATGGTGGGTGTTGCTCTGCAGGCCTCTTGAAACAATACAGCACTGAGACTTATTTAGCTAAGAGAGAGCAACGTGTAGGCAGGGATTTGAGAGCTGGGTAAAGTTTGTGTGCTGCAGTAAGCAGTGCTAGGAAAAACAGAGTGTGCAAGGTGATGTATGTGAGTTCTGCACTGGCCTTCCAGATACTGTATTTGCTTTTTTTGTTCTTACTGTGTTAAAACCTGCTTAACCCAAGTCTAATGATCAAATTAATTCTTTGAATTTATTTATTTTTTCCTTCCTTATTCCTTCCATTTGGTGCTGCTTTCTCTCTCCCTCTCCTCCTTCTTGACTGCCTGGGCAGGCCCTTGCTCCGCCCCGTCCTCCTCTTCCCAAAGAGGAAAGCTTTGCATGGCGTCCTCGCACTGACACTAAAGTGACCAACCTGTTGCCAGTGCCCATCATGGACTGTGTGTACCTGAATGCACCCAAGCCTTATACGCAGCAGTGTGCATCACAAAATGCCAGTGCACGGTGTTATTTCTCCTCACCTACCCCCTATGGGACTGTCCCCAGTGGGAAGCAAGGCTTGCCATCAGGGTATTCTCGCTCTCCAGGCCCCAAAGATGAGGTGCATGCTGGGCAGCCACTCTTGGAAAGTTGCTCCTCGTCAAATGCATCATCTGTACAACACAACACCAACAGGGCAGATCCCAGTAGTAAGGCTGGAATGAATTCCAGTCATGAGACGAAGGCGGATAAAAAGGTCAGCAAACTATATGTAGCTTGTTTATCTAACAGCACTTGCTCAGCCACATCTGAGAATTCCACTGGCACCACACATGACCCAGCAGCCAGCACCAGTTTGGGCGCTGAGCTCACTCCGGCACCAGCCACCGACATTGTTTCCTCTGTAACAGACACTGGAAAGTCTCTTCCTGCTGTTCCTCCTCCTCCTGTTCCTCCCAGGCCGTACTTTTACATTGTCCTCAGTAAAGACGCAGTTAGTTATGGTGCGGGCCAACCCTCCTGGACTCAGTCATCACCTCCGCAAGCTGTGAGGGACAGAGTGCTAGAGCCCCAGAGCACAGCTACCACAGAGGACAGGATGAGAAAAGAGCCTTATCTTACCCAGCAGCAACAGGCACCATACAAGGCAATGGGACGCAGCATGGTACATGTTTTCTCCATAACCTTGTTTTCTTTCAGCCGTGTGAACAGTTCTTTAATTCATTACAATGTTCCCTTGATGCTTTATTCCCTACCTAATTTCTGAGCACTTGTGCCACTTGAGTCTTGTGGTCTTCTACTTGATAATAATTAACACCCCCTGTGTGCCCCCTCAGCATTCATCTGTGTGTTTGTGTGTGTGTGGTGTTTGTAAGGGGTTGGATTGGGCTGGCAAGTATCTTTCTATTTTAGGAAGGTGCACAAGAAGCAAACTTTGTTATGTGATTGTTAGTGCTTCTCAAATAATGGTGGATGCATTTATGCCTCACAGCACAGAATTGGAGAAGAGGGGTGGTGAAGGGAAGGAAGATCTTTGTGAAAAACTGTGCATGTTCATAGAGGCCAGGGCTGCAAGACTGAAGTATGTCTTCTGAAGTAAAGAATATCTGTTGGGGCTTTGCATTATTTTGGGTGCATCCTTGCATGGCACTATATGGCTGCATTAGACTAAAGTATCAGTCTCCCCTGTTGCATAACAACACCTTGTTTCCTACAGGATGCCACTGCCACCACCACAACTCAGCCTGGGGTTATAGTAGTCCCCCTCCTCCAGGTTAATCCAGAAAGACAGCAAGAAGGCAGCTCCAGCACTCCACCACCGCCTCTGGTTCCTTTCGGGCAAGGCTCCACATTCCCTGAGATTGTTCCTCCTGGCTCACCCTTGACTTTTCCGACTCTAGATGATTTCATTCCCCCACATCTCCAGAGGGGTTCCCACCATAACCAAGCACCCTCCTCATCTGACACATTACCCTCTGTTTACCCGAAACTGGCATTCTTCTCATCACCACCTTCACTTGTCCCTCCAGTCACAGGGACTTTGCACAGGGGCTTGAAGCCTGAAATCACTGGAGTCATCTCACGTACAGTAAGCTTGCCAAGTACACTCCTCGCCCTTTTCCTAAATTTGTATTCCCAGATAAAAATTACTTTCTCCTTGCAATACTAAACTTGAAGGGGGAGTGATGACTCACTCCCTGCCAACAGCATGACAACTGAAACCCTGTTTACATCCTGTGCTAGTGCATGCATGTTGCCTGCCTTGTGCAGCTTTGAACCTTCTCGCAACAATATTTGACTGTCTCCTGTTGTGCTCCTTCTGCAGGTGGTACACACCTTAAGAGTATTCACAGGACTTGATCAGAATAATTAATTCTGTATAAACACAATAGTTGCAACTAACTGATCTCTTCAGGCTCTTTTAATAGCATCCTTAATTGTGTCTGAATAACTTTTAAAGCAGGGACAGCAGAGCAGTTAAAGGTTAGGGCTCACTTTCTGTTGCACTTGGAGCCACTGTACACTCTCCACACAAATCCCTGTTGAAATCAGTGTAAGACTAATGCCAGTATCCAATGACCTACAAGCAATAGTATCAGTTACTGAGCTAACAGTCTTCCAAGTGTGTAGGTGTTACGGGATAGATAAGCAAGAGAGTGTCTCTTCAGTTTGGAATTGCTGGTCTTTGGAAATTTTGAAGAATTCAATCCACATCAGTTTTAACTTGGAATTTACTGTGTGCTTCTTGGATTAGGTGTTTGTTCATCTTTAAGCTCATCACCTGTTTTAAAAAGTCCTTAAGGACAAGAACTAAAAGTAGCTCTAAGTCAAAGTTGCAGAGGAGGCAAAAAGTACCTGACCTTCCTTGTACCGGAAGCCTTACAACCACTGTTTGTGGTTTTATTTTGGACAAGCAAGAAGTTCAGCAGAAACCCCCTCCTCTCATCATGATGCCTTTTCTGCCCTCTGACTCTATAGGCATCTAGCAAACAGGCAGCTGGGAGGAAAAGAAGCAAAAGAGCAACCAGGATGATACTTTCAAAAGTTCTCAACGTTGGCCTTTCTGCTTCTGTTGGAATCAGTGGGGATTTTACTGCAGAGAGCAATATTTGAAGGTTTTGTCTGTGGTGTTTTTGTTTGTTTTGGTTGTTTGTTTGTTTTGGTTTTTTTTTGTTTGGGTCAGATTTGGGTTTGTTTGGTTTTAGTTTTTTGGGTCTTTGGTTGGGGTTTTTTTTTGGCGGGGGGTGGTTGAGGTTTTTGTTTGGTTGTTTGTTTCGGGTGTGTTTTTTTGTTTGTTTAGTGGAGCCTATCTGCAGGCTCCAGAAGAATTCAGCAGGCAGAGGAGTGGAAATTTCGTTGCACCTGATTGTCATGAGATCAGAGCTTTGAAACATTTTTGGGTATGTTCATTTCAGGCATGTAGTCACAGAGCTGTTTTCCACAATGATTCCAATTATCTTTGTTCACAACTTTAGTGACAGCTGGGGCTGCTGAGCCTGTCCTTATCTGACATCCCTCTTCCAGGGGTTCTTTATATTTTAGGTACCAAAGTGAAGATCAGATCTCTCCTACTTCTCCTTGATTCCCACTCCTTTTCCCAAATTGCATTGTTTGGAATATTATCACAGCCAGCTAAATGGGGCTGGGGATCCCTGTTAGGGACATCTATTTCTGAAGACTGTTGATTCTCTTCTGTCCACATGAAGATCAGATGCTGCTTGGAGCAAGATCACCTCCAGCCATCAGAATAGGATTGTGCTTTCCTATTTCCCCTCTTGGTTGGACAGACTGTAGATGCTTGTTCTGATTCTGGCAAATTCTTAATGATTTCTCTCTGAGCACTGGTGCCAGGCCTCCCTCTGGCCTCTGTTCATCTCCCTGCCTGATTTTGTAAGTCCTTTCCCCTGATGCTGGTGGATATGAAGGGCGCTGGGTTGCATTTGGCCAGAAAAGCCAGGAGTAGGAATTCTTCTGGAGCATTATTATGCACATATTCTTTTTATTATTAGTATTAGTAGTGTTATCAATGAAAATCCCCCTGAATGTTCAACTCCGTTTTGCAGATCAGTGGCCTGCATCATTTCAGACTGGCAGTGGAGTAGGAGTGCAGAAATATGCTATGTTTTTCCATACTCTTTTTGTTTGGATTCTCATTCCCAATTAATGGTAGTTGTGTCTTCAAATTCCTTAAAAAGATAAGAAAAATCTCAGCCTAAACTGACATAGTCTTAGTCATCATCCCTTCTTTATCTTTTTCACCTTACTACCAGCAAAAGCATAGTATCCCTGGACTCAGATTTTTCAAAGCTGAACTAGTTTTTGAAGTCTCCTTGCTGAAACAGCCTGTATTTCTGCAGAACAACCAGAGCTGTAGTGATACCAAAGGTGGTTTCGAAATAAGCAAATAATGCAGCTGGATGCTTTAAGAGAACAAGAGCAGCTTGCTATCTGTGCTCCAGCTGCAAAGCCGTGTTGAGTATCTTCCTTGCTACAGTCCTGCTTTTTGTTCTCATCAGTTTTGGGGTTTTAATTTCATTATTTGAACCAGGTAGGTGTTATACTATCTCCTGAGTGACAATGTTGACCTTATTCCTCAGACTTTACTTACCAAACCAGCTGCAATAATACTGTTTCACTACAGAATTGCATGAGTTTTGCATGCCTGATTTCTTGCTCTGAAAGGAATATTTTCAAAACAAAGATTTATGTGTATATGTATCAGGGGAAAGATTTCTGTGTTTTCCCCCACCTCAGAAATGAGATACGCTCATTTCTGGCACCCTGTGTTTCCTCCAGAGAGTTTGCTGTATTAATTTAGTACCTCCTTTCGGAGTTGGAGTTGTGAAACTCAACACCAAATAATTATAGTACTGCCTTAGCAAACTAATTGCATTAACAGCGAGGAGGGTACGTACAGGGAGCAGGGTAACACTCATGCTTATGCCTGTTTTACTAAAATTTGCTGTGATGGTGCTTCTCATTCAGCTTAAAATGTGGGGAGTGTTTTCCAGATTTTCCCACTGTATCAGCCTGCTGATACAGTGTATCATGCTGCTAATGATATGTTGCTCTCCTTTTCAGGACCCAAGTCCTGTGCTAAATGAAGTGCCCCAGCCTGGCATTGGCACTGACTATCCAACCTCCTTCACTTCAATCAAGTCTTCCTCTGCCTATCCCTCAACCACAATCGTCAATCCTACTATTGTCCTCTTGCAGCACAATCGAGGTAAGGAGACATCCAATTAGATATTTGTGACTCAAACTGAGCAACCTGTTGTGCTACAAGGAACTGGGGAATGTGTGTGCCATGGACAATTAAGTCCAGACTACTAAAAGCTAGCAAAACTTAAAGTTGTAGTTACTGGAGCATACAACAGGTACAAGTAAGAGGTTAGAGCTGTGGGACAATACCTGTGGATCACAGGCACTCTGAGGTTGGGGGAGAGGCTTACAACAGGCTGTGGACATATGAGTAAGTTATTGCAGTGTTGTAACTGCTTATCCCCCATCAGGTGTCCTGTCATAGCAGAAAGGGTGTATGCACACATGTGTCAGTAGGAGCAAGGTAGCTTGAGGTAGGTTCGCCCTCACTGGAAAAGGGAATATGTTACTTCTCAGCTACTGCAGTGTGAAACAGCCATACTTTCAGTTACTGTGGGAGAGATTTGACTTCCGATTCTCAGCAGAATTTACCCAATAGTCAATAATCCATTTGCCCATAAGTTTGAACTTGGCAATTTCTTCCTATATAACTAGATCAACTAAAACTCTACTTTAGTAGGCCTAAAGCTCTGGGTTTACCTATGAGCAAAACAATGTTGTTTGAGCACTGCTTACTCGTGTTTACTCATCTAAACCTTTCTCTGCCTCACAGCAGCTTTTTTTGAGTGGATAGTTGCATCTTTTTGCCTCTGGCATTAGAGGGAAACTTTGTTTCTCCTTTTTAGTGCCCCGGTGGCTGACATTCCCCAGCTTCCTCGCTTATTGTGAATCACTGAGGAGAGTAGCTTATAAAGGGCCACAACAATGCAGTCCAATTTGCCTTGATTTCCAGTGGGTTTAGGAAACTCCAGGACAGACAGATTCCAGTCTACAATGGTATGACTTACCTTTTGCAAAATAAAACAAGAAAATAAGGAAATAGGGGCAAGGCCTGCACTCCTCATATTGTAGTCATTCTGTAATTGGAGGCATGCATTTATGTGCTGCTTTGCCACCTCTCATGTGTTGTTTTTTAGTGTATTTTTAAAGCAGATATCAGTCGTTGATCTTGAGGATAGGATCTTCACTGTAGCCCAGCTGATTATAGGGGTAATGAGTGGGTGATCTCTTCCTTTTTGCCAGCATCTGAAGCAGCTTTGCTTATGTGCTTCTGAATGATGCTGTCTGGATTCCTCAGCCACTTCAAGAGGAAAAAATATTTGAGGCATTCTTTTTTATCTCAAAGCTTTTTTTCACTATCTTGAGGTGGGATACTGTTTTGGTTGTTTTTTGCATTAAATCTGGAGCATTTCAGTGTGTACCACACAAGGATATTTTCTCTTTGTAGGTTTTAATAGCATGAGAGACAAATCTCTAAAATACGATGACCCACACACAGTGGCTCTGAGACAGCTGATATCAAGTTTTTCCATTAACTAATCACCTTCACAGTTACTGATTTGTCCTGATTGTCTTTACTCTGACCACTAGCACTCACAATATTGTATCCTGATAGTTTGAAGAGCCTTCTCTGATCACATTTTTGTTGACTGCAATATAGATAATCACCTGATGAGCAACTTGATTGTGCCTATATCTTGTTCTGATGTGTGGTTTTCAGTCTTTTGTAGTCAAACTTGTAATCATATTGAACTGGTTTGACAAGGCATCTTAGTCATAAATCTGCATTGATTGTTGTGTGTCATGCTGTGTATTTATTAGTAAAATCACATATAAGTCATTACTGTTGTTTTTTTTCCTGGCATTATTGTCAACTTGACAAATAGAAGTCCCAGCCATCACACTAATGCTTTTCAAAGGTTGTCACAACATTTGCTTTCTTGCTTGTCCTGGAAAAGGAAGGTTCCTTTGTATTCCAAGACATATGGAGGATGAATGTTAATGGTCCAATGAGCTGCTCTCTTTAGAGCAGAAAACTGCTCTAAAACTCTTCACTACAAATTATATGAAGATGCTACTTTTCAAGCATCTGACCTCAGCTGTCATTCAGCATAGTCCTTAGTTGCTGTTGAAGTGGAAAGTATTTCTTCATCAGGCAGCAGAATGTCAGATTTTATTAATTTTTTTTTCCTCCAAGTGCAGAATGGAAAGAGTAATCAGATGTGTCATCTTTTCTGCCCTCTTATTAACAGTTCCACTGTGTCTATTTGGTAGAACAAGATCATTACTAGGTTTCTGTTTATTCTTCATGTACTTCAAAACCTATTTTTGAGTCTGAGACATTCTGTTATTCTTTTTCTTCCATTGTCACTTTCTTCCATTTCTGAGCATATGGTATTGTCGTGGTTTAAACCCAGCCAGACAGCTCGTGGACTCACTCCCAGTGAGTGGTGCCAGGCTGGATTCCAGCAGTCGAGGCCCGGGGCTCCCCCCCTTCCCCGCTCCTGGAGGATGGGGAGGAGAATCGAAAGAATGCAACTCCCACAGGCTGAGATAAGAACAGTCCAGCAGCCAATGTACAACACAGATCACCACCGCTACCACCACCACCAACAATGATAAGAGATAATAGCAAGGGAAAAGAGTACAATACCACCTGCCGAACAATGAGTCAGACCCCCTGTCCTTCCGGGTAACTCCCAGTTCCCCCCTGGGCATGACGTGCTGTGGTATGGAATACCTCTTTGGTCAGTTTGGGTCAGGTGTCCTCTCTCTGCTTCCTCCTGGCTTCCCCTCCTCCCTGGCAGAGCATGAGGCTCACAAAGTCCTTGGCCAAACCAAACCATCATTGTTATCAGCTCTGTTCCCAGCCCGAAAGTCAAAACACAGCACTGCACCAGCTACCAAGAAAGAGAAAAAATGACTGCTACTGCTAAACCCAGGACAGGTATCTACTCATGTGTATATATTTTCTTAGTTTTCCATCTTTTCAAGTGTTGAAGGTTTCTTACAATTCATTATGCTTCCATTCCTATCTAGGCTGTATCCAAGCATAGCATTCAAATTTCTGTTTGCTTAGTGTTTTAAAGTGGTTCTCAGATCTTAGTTATCTATTTTTGTCCTGGCTGACATGATTCATATTTGGTTTCAACTTTATGGACCTTATCTATTAAAAAATTGTTTCGTCTTGTAGCATGTAAAAATTCTTACTAGTTTATGATCCACCTTCACCTGAATGGTCAATTGTGTTTTGTGCTGAAATAAATTCCTTCATGTCAAGATGAGGTTTAAAATAAATTCCTCTTATCTGCTATGAAATACCCTCTGAATTAGAATTTTTAAGGTCATTTTAATATTGGCATCTGAGGTCTACAGTAGTTTAGTTAGTTTTCTAGATGGATAATGGGACTTTCTCCTCAGCACATTATTGCCTGCTTTTTAAGGAGCTGGTTAACTTTGTTTTTGGAGTGACTGTTGTATCAGACATCACCTGCTGTCCTAGTTTATGCTTTATCTGCTAGTTCATTAATCTGTAAGCATGTAAGATCCTTTGATGTGGAGCTGTCAGAGACTTAGAAACAGGTAATGGCATTTGAAGCACAGAAACTACACTATATCCTCTTTTTTTTTTTCCTGCTTCATCTTAGTTGGTTGTCATGAGAGAGCTCAGATTTTTTTATACCGGATTTCAGTAATGCCAATGGAATAAGATTGATGCTTATAAACAATTCATTTCAGATCCTCTTTCTCATTCCTAGCAGCAAGGTAAGGATATCTTCCCTTCACAATCTGTTGGTGTCTTGATTAATCTTCATTTTTATTTTGCACTAAGTACTTTTCTCCTCTTCCCTTTTTTTTGCTAGTTTCATGTCTTAGTTTCCTGCAGTGCTCCCTCCTCTGGGAACTTTGAAGGCATCTATATTCATTCCTTCGTTGGTGCCAGTAGTTCTGTTCCTCTGCTCAGCCCTTTCTCTGAGAAGCCTACAAGTTTTTGGCTGTTGCTTACAGTTCCAGAGCACAAGATCAGGAGTTAAAAACTCATTTAGCTGATGTGTGCCTGGGACTTGCAAGCTGGTTCTGGTCATGCAGAAGAGTGAAATAGATACCTCCTACTCTTTCCACTTCTATCCATCAGCAGCATTCTTTCCTACTCAGAAACATAAGTGAAAATGAAACTTCCTTTTCCTCCTCTTCATGTAAAAAGTACTTCTTTTTTTTTTTTTTATGAAAAGTTTATTAATCCATTATATTCTCTCCCCTGTGGAGGAAAAGACAGGAAAGAGCTCTAAAGCGTCTACTCTTTAACACACATGTTCTTGTCAGGAGACCTTAGTGATTGAACATAATTCTCCTGAGCAGAGAGGAGATAGCAGAAGCTGAGCCCATCCTTTACTTGCATCTTTTCCTCCTTTCTCACAATACAGCAGCCTATCCTGATGGCCTGCTTAAAAGAGTGAACCCTGAAGGAGGTAGTTCCCATCTGCTTTTCAGGTTCAGATTGCTAACCCTTTTACCTATTGCATATAGGGGTTTGTTTCATGTGATAGTAGCTATCATGTGATCATAACATGCACTAGCAGCTTACCATTGGTGGTTAGCAGAGTAGAAGTGCTAGGGTTAAAGAAGAAAGCTGATAGGTGTTGGTGAGGGCACTGCACTTAATGAGGAGAAATATTGGTCTCCCTTGCCAAGATGATCCACTTAGTACAAATATCTAGTAAAGGTGGGTTCTGCTAGCAAACAGCATAATCCTGGAGGATTGTTACCTACTGCAGACTTGCTTGGCAAGTGTCCCATGCAACCCCACAGCACACTTATTTCCTGGTCAGGCATTGCATGGCATGATTTATAATGTTTATATAACAGGTGTGATTAATATATTAAAGTTTTTGAATCTTTGCATTAACAGTATGAGCTTTCAAGAGTGTTTGTATTTTTGTGTGTAAATGAAATCCTTTATTCTTTTCAAACGGTTTTGATGCTTTAAATAAAAAGATTAATTGCTAGGGAATAGAAAAAGCAGAGAACAGAATGCTAAGGATTCTTGGTTCATTCGCAACTGTGACTTGGGCAAGTCCTCTGGGCAACCCTTTAGAAAGCAGCTTTGAGCATCAACTTTAGGGTGGTCAAGCATGCTGGAAGATACTGCAAATGTCCGAGTCTGGGAACTCAGTAATGAAAGACCCTAAACCAAGGGGAGCATTCTGAGAATCAAAGCCTTAATCAAGCTGTGTCTGTGTGCAAATCACCAACTCTGTGGCTCAGTAGATTGTGATGAGACTCAGCAAGCACCAGCAATAACTTGATCTTTTCCTGTATCCTTTCAAAGTGCTACAGCATTATTGCTTCAAAATGTACTTCATGCTAATGGGTAACAGAGTTAGCTGACAAGTTGTTTGACTCTGTGAGTCTTTACTGTTTTTCAAACTGTCTCCTGTCCAACTTTTTTCATTATCTGATGTTAAAAAAAAAAAAAAAAAAGTCCTTTGTAAATAATATTGGTCACTGCATCATGAGATTTATATTATTCCACAAGCCTGCTGTGTGACGAAGAGACTGGGGGCTGTCACTTTGGCAGGGTATTTGAAAACAGATTCTCTTCAGCAGCTGCTGCCATTCTGTCTACAGTGTTTTTCTTGCCTGTCAGGAATGCAGCACCAGAGCACTTGCTGTTTATGTCTCACCCATTTGTTCTGTATTTCTTTTTGTTTTGTTTCTTCCTTTACCACAGAACAGCAAAAAAGGCTTAGTAGCCTGGCAGGTATGATATGAAAGGTCTGCAACCCTCAACTGCTGCCTCTGGTGGAGCAAAGCTGCTGCTTTGTTAGCTTGTGGAGTACCTTTAGCAAACACACTTCCCAGGAACTGCAAAGAAATTAGTATAAATGTTTGTCCTGGCTTAGTCTGGGTCACTTAATGTTTGGTTTCAGTCTGTTACCCAAATGCTACCTGTGTTGCTGCATGTTAGCATACTAAAAACCTAAATTACTCATCTATTCCTCATAAGTCATGAGATTTACATAAAGTTTGATTGTTCCAATTGACTTTGGGTCTGCCTTTTGAGCCTTTAGGTTTGTTCTCAGGGGGCATATTATCAAGTTTCTCTACATAGCTGTTAGAGTTAGTCTTGCTTGTGGTGAGGGGAAAGGAAAACGAATATAAAACAATATTTACGTGACTCTAAGAGCATAAGTATTTGTGCCAGATGTCAAGAAATAGGCAATAAAATTGTAATGTGCAAGTATGCATGTCTGCTGCCATCTTTCTTTCTCTGGGCAGTTCTCTGCTCTTTTAATGGGTATGAGAGTCTGTCCCTGAAAGAAGAGCAAGTTGTTTTCCTGGCCATCTTTCCCTCCCCATGCCCCAAACAGAAGAAGGTCAGTCTGCAGTGGGCATTATAGGACCAGCACATTATGCACCACTTACCCATATTGTTATTGTTGGGTTATGGCCGTGGCAGAGTAAATGGAGAGGGGAGAGAGAAGAGCCACAGAGAGTGCCTAAGCACTTTAAATGTCACAAATAGAAACACAAGGAAGCCAGTACTGTGTGCTCTTACTCTGCTGCGTGGGCCCTGGACTAACAGAGCCTGTCCCATGAGGCAGCTGCTGGCTTGGTCCAACTTTCCTTCAGGCTCCTTCAGCCGCTACACCAGCCTGTCCATCCTCCCTGCTGCCACCCTGCTGAGGTGACAGGCTGCATACAGCTTACACTGGTTTCTCTCAGCTCCTTCTTTAGGTAGGTAGTATGTCATCATCTGATGCCACTCAGCTACGAGACTGATACTTGCCTGCAAGTCCGGATAGAGGTTTCCTGTTGTTTTTTGCTTTCGCAAGGTGTTTCTCTTAGTTATCAGGAACTTCTTTGTTTTCTGAACTAGAGATAGCCACAGAGCAGTTTACTAGAGCCTGAATGATCCTTGGTCTGGAAGAGTGAAGCATATTGTGGCACAGCTGGGTCTGCATCTGCTCTTAGCATACCAAAACAACAACACAAGGCTGCTTGTTGCCACCTCTCCCCCTACTTTTTATGTCCTATTTGTCACAGCAGTAAAACTCTTTTGCTGTGGAACCCCATATATTGCTGCTGCTCTTGCAAAAGGATAGCTCAGGTACCATGTAGTGTGCTTGCTGGTGCAATGTGTTTATTTGGGTGATAAGGCATCAGATTTGGTGCTCTAATTTTTAAATACCTCAAAGCCTGGTATACAGCTCCATAAGCTCTTCTGAAATAATTGAAACCCCATGGCAAAAAATAAGTATGAAATTTAGCCTTTATTTTCCAAGTTGTAGGGTATTAGAGGAAATATGTGGTGAAAGATGTCTGCTTTAGTTCCTCCCTCTGCAAAGAAAGCTGGGCAGCAGGTGTCTTTGTTTGCAGCATCAGCTGAGCAGCCAAACTGGACCAGCAGCTAAGCTGATTCTCTTGGTTGAGTCCTGTGGACCTTGGAAGAGCTTTCCTGGCAGAGTACACAGGGAGAGCTTGCCCTAATACAACTGTCCTGTCAGACAGGCCTCTCCTGTCTCCAGGGTTGTCAGTCCAGCACCTTCAGCAAGTTCTAAGTGCACTCTAAGAAAATATTTTTTTAATACATTTAGCTGGCTGGTAGGTTTTCCACCTGGCTATACCATGCTCAATTGCTCCTAAAACTTCATGTTATAACGTTAAAGATGTGGATCCGTGGCTGGGAGATGACTGGCACAGGCCAGGGGTCAATTTTTGCTAAATTAATGATTTTGCTTAGATCATGGCTGGGGCACTGGGGTCTGCCTGGCAAACAGCCACCACTTTTCCAGTGCAGGAAGCTAGGGAATCAAAAAGAAATAACACATATTTACCAGTCCTGTTAGAGAAGGACTTTGTGACCTTCTCTGGTGTGAAATTCTTTGTCCTGCAGAAAATAATGATTTTTCCAGACAGAAGCTCAGGACTTGTACCCAGCAGTGACAATGATAAGTAACGGAAGAAAGCTGTGCTACATCTTCATCCGCATCCAAAAACCCACTTCCTTTTGGTCTTCAAGGTTATGGAAGAATGGTCTAGTTTCAGTTGCTCTTTCCCTACCGTGCCTAGAGGCCTAATAAGGAGTTTAGTAATGTAAATGGACTAAATACTTCCTACAAAATAGAGAACCCTGTACATCAGCAACATGAAAGGACCAAAAGACAGTGCACACACCTTCACAGGGCAGGGAAATAGTCTACCTAGTCTAATGGAAGTTGCCTTTGCTTGTGGCAGGGGGGTTGGAACTAGATGATCTATTTAAGGTCCCTTCCAACCCTCCAACCCAAACCATTCTATGATTCTATGAAAATACTAAGCAAGGATTTAATAGATGTTTTGCCGGATTTTGAACATGCGTAAACGTTATTTAATTTTCTCTTAAAGAAGATGAAGACTTCAAAGTTTGATGGTAATTTCATACCAACCACTCAAACACAAATCCTTCATGCACTGAGTTTTGCAGGGCAGAATTGTGTTTGCTCAAGGTACCAGCAGACCAATGCTTTGTTATGCATGAGACTTTCCTCTGCTAACTGCCCCTTTCAGATTTCTGCACACTTACTGGCTTTGGGCAGTATGCTGATGTGCATGTGAATAAAAGTATCTTTCTCTTTCTCTCTTCAATGCATGCAGTGACGTAAAAATGATAGAACTTGGCAAAGTCTTGATGAGGCAGACTGCAAAATCATACATGTTTCCTCTCCAGAAAATCCACATAGAAAAAGTCATTGGCAGAGCCTAAGGGTTACTGTGCTGCAGCTCTCCAAAACATTGTAGAGTTTCAGAGCAATCCGGGCTCCTTTGGCTCGTTGGCCAGTAGTGGTGATGCCTGCTGCTATGTGTGGGTGTCACTTGTGCTGTGTCAAGGAATTCTGGGTGGAGCAAGATGGTCTGGAGCAATTAGTTGTTTTGCCCAACCTTTATGCAGACTCCTGTTCAAGAGGAATCATATGTATGCTTAAACAAAACTGGAGTTTACTGTTTAAAAACTGATTAGGGCACAGAGGTGAATTAGAAGCATCATACGTAATGAATGGGACTGTAATGAATGGGGTTGCCAGGCAGGTGAGTGCAAGCTGTTAAAAAACTACTGCTCCACTACTTGGTAGGATGCTCCATTAGATTGAAATCACCAGCAGAAAAAGATGCTTAGGAGACTGTATCACTGATGGTTTTGGAGGAAGAATGAGACTGGAGAGTCACTATGTAGTCAGAAAGACACAAAACACCAACCCACAGACAGTCCTTGAAACCAGAATTTTCTGTTGTCTTACATGGCAGCTGAGAGGCGCTAGCCTCCTTTTGCTGGCATCAAATGTTTTCATGCTAGGTTTCCTTCAGTCCACGTGTTAACCACAACTAGCAGTGGCACAGTCTGTCTCATCAACTACTTGCTAGGATTTTTGTGTTGAGTGTGGAATTAGGTGATGTGGTGAAATGCTGGGATAAGAATTGCTCATTGTCATTTCCAGATTCAGTGCCAGACAGACTAGTTTCTGATAAAGTTGATTCAGCTCCCACACGGGACAAGCCGCTTAAGGAGACAGTGCCAAGTGAGAAGAGAGCAATGGAGGAAAAGAGAAGCACTGTCAAGAGTCCTCAGCACATGACTGATACCTCTGTTGATGATATTGGCATTCCACTGAGGGTAAGGCAACACTGAGCACAAATGTACAAAACCTGGGCCAGATTCTGCCCACCTTAGGGGTTGGGGAATTCACTAAAGCTCCAGATGTTGCAGAAATTTAAGAGGAGACATAATTCTAGTTCTAATGTATTTTATTGTATTATTTCTTATATTTATTATTTATTTCCTATTGGTGACCTATTTCAGTCACCTTGGGGAATGGGGGAGGGATGTGGATAAAAACTTAATTCACTCTTCTCATCATATTCGAAAATACTGATTTCTGCTCTTTTCCTTTGCAGCTAGCAGCTAAGGGAGAATTTTGTCCTATTTTAGCTCTCTTAAAGGCAGATACTGTTTTTATATGACATGTTTAAATTAATTCAGTGTTCAGAGGAATTATCGTAAAGAGAATTATTAACCTGTTTTTAAAACTAGTGTCTGGAGTGACTTGAGCAGTAAATGCTTCTAACTGCCCATTGAATACTTAGGAAATGGGTATGTATGACTAAAATGGGCAAGGTGTCTACTTTAAGATGTCAAATCCAATTAACATGCAAAACCTTCCGCACAATCTACAATTCTACATGGGTATATATAACGAATCCATGCAAAGCTTGTATGTTAATTAGTAACTTTAGTGAAGCCTTTAGTTTCATTATGTATGAGATTATATATCTGAGTGAAATCACTCGTATTTCAAAGTATTAATTTCATATACCAGAGTGTAAACCTTTCTCATTGCTGTAAGATTCGTAAGAACTGTGAAAGACTGGTAGAAGTCATGGTTGTGATTATTTATGTGCATATTTATTTTTCCAATAGAATACAGACAGATCGAAGGACTGGTACAAGACAATGTTCAAACAGATCCACAAGCTAAATAGAGGTACTGTAACACAGTTTTTTTTTTTTATTTACTTTAAAAGACCGCCTTGATAACATTTTGTTTCATTCATGGGAAGAATTGTACTGGATAATCAAATAAAAACATTTTATGTTAACTAGTGTTTGTTCTGCACCACAGAACTCAAATAATGCACTTGAAATCTCTGAAGGCAAAGGTGAGAGAACAGTGAAGTCCTGAGGAAGGTCTGAGTTGTTCTGAAAGGTGAACTGCAGTGCCCTCATGAAATCAAGAGAACTATTTGAGATCAGAAAGTTGCTGATAATTCCATATTTAAAGAAAATAGATCCCTGAACTCCAGTTTTAGCAGCTAAACCTCATACACACACACTTTTAAAGGACAGTAGGTTATGACTAAAACTGCTCTGTGCAAAAGAGAAATTTTTACACTGTAAAGCCTGATTTGAAGCTCACTGAAACTAGTTGAAAGGTTTCCATTGATTTTTTGGTGAGTTCAGAATCTGAACTCTGCTTTTTTTAGAACCTCAATTTTTCTCTTTTCAAAAACCTCAGATTGTGGTGATGACTTGCAAACCTTGTAATGGTGTACTCTCAGGGGATCCCCTACTTCAGGGCACTTCTGTGCCTGGCTGCTGATACACTCATGTTTTCTTCTGTGTGAAAAATGGCTGCAGTAGCATTGAAAACTACTCTCTGAACAGCCTGACATGCAGTAAAATGCAGTTCAGAACCATGCTTACATAATAAAACACAGAGCATGCAAAAGTGGAGCTGTATTTGCTGCTACAGGTGCTGTCATGATGAGCTTTATGCATAGGTAGATGCTGTGTTATACTGATTGGAATGTGATCCTAATCCTTGTGGTCCTAACAGAGGTCCTTCAGCTCAGCTTTAGAAGCTCAGCTTCAGAAGGAGAATTATTTCAGCCCACTTGGCTTCCAGAACCTCTCATAGGGCCCAGACATGCATGGCAGCAATAAGTAAAGAGGCATCTAGGTTGTGTCATGCTAGAACACCAGCATGAGAGAGACTGTTCTGCAGCCAGCTTGTATAGATTCTTGTCTCACCCTTCTTCCCCTTTAAATCTGTCCTCTCTGTTCTTTTTTGCAAATTACGTTCCTCTCCTTAGACACTCCTGAAGAAAACCCTTATTGCCCTACCTACATATTTCCTGAACTTCCAGAAATCCAGCAAAAAACTGAAGGTACCAGAAGTTTAGTCAGAGTATCTGTTGTCTTGTGCTTTGAGTTAACTGTACTATAGCACCCTAATAGTAACTAGATTCAGGTTCTAGATTTCTGTTAAACCATGTGTTACACTGGTTGGAAATTCAGTTATGCCCACTATACCTTCTTCTGTGATGCATAAAATAACAAAATCTTTGCTAATCCATTAATCTTTTTTTTAAGTATGATGCCGTTTAGTATTGTTGAAGTAGGCAATAAAATCATACGATGATAGGAAATTGGGGGATGAAGCAGAACCTCCACTTTTACTGTGGATAGTTTCAAAATCCACTGCTTTTCTCTGCTGCAGAAGACAATCCTTATTCTCCTACATACCAGTTTCCTGAGTCTACTCCTAGTCCTATCTCTGAAGGTAATAATAAAGGACCGTATATATTTTTCTGCACAAATGTTGCCTTACCCATTTATTTTCTTCCTGGAGTTTTTTTGTAGTTGCTGAGCATTATGCTGCCTCATAATGATTTGCTGCACCCTAAGCATTGCCTTGACTGTATGATGCCTTTTGGCTTTGCAGTGCTCCTCTGGCTTTGTAACTAGTATTTGACTAATGCTACTTGGGGTTTGCTTGGTTTTATGTGCTTATCAGTTGTATTTAGCCATGTGCGTGCAGTGATTATTTAACATGCTTAGATTGTTGACTTACACATAAAGATGTGGTTTAACTGAGATTTCTCCCACCCCCCTTTGAGATCAATACATTTCTTTCAGTATTGGTTTCTGGTTTTGAATATTAACACAGTATTAGGGCCAGACCGAAAATGCCACTGAAGTCTATTGGTTAAAAGGCTGCTTGCTTCAGTGGGTTTTGGGTCAGTGCCCTCAATGTAGTCTTTTAAAATAAATATAACTTGGTGACATAGATTCAGGGCTGGCCTTAGGTGCACTTGGCATATCTAGGCAAGGACAGAGTCTAATAGTCTCATCAGTGCATCTTGCAAATATATGTTGTCTTTACCTGATCCTCTTCATGTGCTCAGCAGATTCCTTTAAACTTCATGTACAAACCAGAATTATTTGCAGTCATGTTTCAGGGGTGGTGAAATAGCATCTCTTGCAGTGATAATCATGTAACTGTGTGCATACACATGAAAATACATATATGAGAAACACTGGAATCCGCTGCACACGTTGGACATATGGAAATTTACTGATTGGGAATTTCTTATTGGTGACAGCCTTGCTGACTTGGTAGTGCTTTCGTGTCTGTCACTTTAGATCCTGCAATTTAGGAACTTGCCTACTTAGCCTGTGCCTCAAGCCAACCCTGGTGAGACTGTTAACCATTTCATTCTATGTTTATATTAAACATCTGGTGGGTACTGCATAAAAATACATATGCATACAATATGGGTTCTAGCTGAGATACTCTAAGAAAACCTGGAGATGTAACGTGTATGTCATTGTTATAATAGATGTGGATGACTGTCACCCAGGAATCTAAGATAACTGCTCATTTCTTGGTGTAATGTGTAGGTGAAGAGTCCTGTCTTGCAAATCATAATACAGTGTAAATTATTTTCTATTGGCAGAATGGTATGTGAATATGGATGAGAGAGGAAAAAAGAGTCTCAGTACCTAATTGATAATGGAGTTCTACAGAGATTCATTTTGCTGTTTTTTGAAATAACATAGCTTGCAAAACCAATGGTGATAACATATTGGGTCTGGTTTACTGTCCCCTATACACTTACAAATGCGCATATGAAAGTAATATGCTGGCTTAGGTAGTTGGAATTTTCTTGGACCAAACACTCGGTTTTTATTCTCAGTATGTTAGGAAATGTTTCTCTAATATCTGCTTGTATTCTTTCCTATATAAGGAATCCAGAATATCTGATGGGTTGGAGTGCATGTTTCATGCTTAGAAAACATCTCAGAGTTACATACTCAATGGTAAAGTGTTTATAAAAAGATGGGCTGAAGTCTCAGTTCCATATAATCAGTGTTTTTTTGCTTTGGATTAGAATCATACAATAGTTAGGGTTGGAAAGGACCTTAAGATCATCTATTTCCAAACCCCCTGCCATGGGCAGGGACACCTCACACTAAACCGTGTCACCCAAGGCCCTGTCCAACCTGGCCTTGAACACTGCCAGGAATGGAGCATTCACAGCTTCCCTGGGCAACCCATTCCGGTGCCTCACCACCCTTACAGTGAAGAATTTCTTCCTTATATCCAGTCTGAACTTCCCCTGTTTAAGTTTTAACCCGTTACCTCTTCTCCTATCACTACAGTCCCTAATGAAGAGTCCATCCCCAGCATCCCTATATGCCCCCTTAAGATACTGGAAGGCTGCTATGAGGTCTCCACACAGCCTTCTCTTCTCCAGGCTGAACAGCCCCAACTTTCTCAGCCGATCTTCATATGGGAGGTGCTCCAGTCCCCTGATCATCCTCATGGCCCTCCTCTGGACTTGTTCCAACAGATCCATGTCCTTTTTATGTTGAGGACACCAGAACTGCACACAATACTGCAAGTGAGGTCTCACGAGAGCAGAGTAGAGGGGCAGGATCACCTCCTTCGACCTGCTGGTCACACTCCTTTTGATGCAGCCCAGGATACAGTTGGCTTTCTGGGCTGTGAGCACACACTGCTGTCTCATGTTCATTTTCTCATCAACCAGCACCCCCAAGTCCTTCTCCGCAGGGCTGCTCTGAATCTCTTCTCTGCCCAGCCTGTAGCTGTGCCTGGGATTGCTCCAACCGAGGTGTAGGACCTTGCACTTGGCATATTTAAACTTCATAAGGTTGGCATCAGCCTACCTCACAAGCATGTCAAGGTCCCTCTGGATGGCATTCCTTCCCTCCAGTGTATCAGCCAAACCACACAGCTTGGTGTCATCAGCAAACTTGCTGAGGGTGCACTCAATCCCACTGTCCATGTCAGCGACGAAGATGTTGAACAAGACCGGTCCCAACACTGACCCCTGAGGGACACCACTCATTACTGGTCTCCAGCTGGACACTGAGCCATTGACCACAACTCTGCGTGCAGCCATCCAGCCAGTTCTTTATCCACCAAGTGGTCCATCCATCAAATTGATGTCTCTCCAATTTAGAGACAAGGATGTTGTGTGGGACAGTGTCGAACGCTTTACACAAATCCAGGTAGATGACATCAACTGCTCTACCCCTGTCCATCAGTTCCGTAGCCCCATCATAGAAGGCCACCAAATTGGTCAGGCAGGATTTCCCCTTAGTGAAGCCATGCTGGCTGTCACCAAGCACCTTGTTGTTTTTCATGTGCCTTAGCATGCCTTCCAGGAGAATCTGCTCCAAGATTTTGCCAGGCACAGAGGTGAGACTGACTGGTCTGTAATTCCCTGGGTCATCCATTTTCCCCTTCTTGAAAATGGGGGTTATATTTCCCTTTTTCCAGTTGTTGGGAACTTCACCTGACTGCCATGATTTTTCAAATATGATGGACAGTGGCTTAGCAACTTCATTTGCCAGCTCCTTCAGGACCTGCAGATGGATTTCATCAGGTCCCATGGACCTGTGCATGTTCAGGTTCTTAAGATGGTCTCGAACCAGTTCCTCTCCTACAGTGGGCCCAAGATCTTCATTCTCACAGTCCCTGTGTCTGCCTTCCAAGACTTGGGTGGTGTGGTCAGAGCATTGATGCATAAGATCTCCTAGAAACATCAAGATTTAGGCTCTCCTCTAAAAAAACTACAGTCTCTCTAGAAACAGAAAATATGGCCAACCCATGAAAAAGCAAAAGCAACCACCTGCAGATTCTCAATGAACTGCAGGGTAACAGTCTCTTCTTGTTATAGCGATCAGGTTTTGAAGTAATAAACTGGTGATACCCTGCTCCATTAGGGAGGGTCCCATAGATAGAATGCAGCTCTGAGAAGTCACACTTATTTCTGATTCATTCTTTAATCTTTATCAAATCATTCCAGATTTCTGTGTGTCAGTATTCCTTGCTATGAAAAGGGAAGAAATGTAGACACTTTAAAAATACTTGAAGACAAAGCATACCTGGTTTTCGTATTATTGTAGATATTTGAATAGTAGCAACTGGAAAATAGCACTTATCTGAAGTGAATTTTTCATTGTGTGATTTTCCTGTCTGAATTATGACCTGTAATGAATATTGATATTTCTCTTCAAGTAAATCAGTATTTTCATTGATCACCAGCGCTAAAAAGGGCTAAGATAGGTGAATGGCTGTGAAGATGGTTTGAGACATTGGTTCATCTTTATTTGCAGGTACAAGAGTTTTGTGATTTACCAAGTAGTTTGCTGTTTGAATAAACACAACTTCTATAAAGGAATACCAGTGAATTTTGTGAACAGTTCTGTGTAACAACATCAAATAAATATTTGTTTCCTTTCTTAGGCTTAAAATGTTGTAATTGGCCTGAAAATTGACCTTCACTGTTTTTTAACCTGAAGGTTATGATAAGCACCCTAGAGGCAATAACCATCTGTTTGGAACTTAAACGTAATTCATTCACCAAAAGAGGAGCTAGAAGTTAAGACTTATTTGAGCCTTCCTGAAAGGCTTGTTTAAGGCTGTAGTGCAAGTTCAGGTCAGCTTTGTTAGCCAGATTGTGGTTTTTTTCCAGCAGATGAGAGTGGCTGTAGCATCTGATTGATGTCCTCCTTGAGAGAATATCTATCTAGAAATTGTTCCAGTCTGTTGATCAGCATCACTAAATTCACAGAAGTTTTTTAGTATGCTCTTTTCTTATTTAGCTTATTCTTTCTTCATCTATTTTGTTTCTCTCTTTATCTCTGAATCTCTCACTTTTGGTGGTTTCTTCACAAAAGCATTGGTAATACTTTTGTTCACAGTTCTTGCAGTCATTGCATTGTAGTTTCCTGCGAATTCCTTGGCAGTCCTGTAGATGTCTCATGTACACATCCTTGCAAGTTTGAGCCCTCCTCAGCGTGGAAAGGTGATCTGCCTGTGGCTCCAGTTTCCAGGTCTGATCCCAACTTCCCCTGCTACTACCTCCAATTCATTGAGGATTCATTCTAAAGCCTGTTGCAGATGGTGGAAAGATACTGCTAGGTTTTTGATTGAGTCTCGTTTCCATCACCTATAGAGCGAGGGGTGGTAATGCTGATATCCTCCCACCTTCTTTTTGGGCATGTCTGCCTTGTGCAATACAGTACCATGTTACCTTTGAATAAGGCAATTTGTGGTTCCATGGCCCAAGGTGACACTGTGTCCTAGGAGTGACATTGCTGTGTTGATGCAGTGTAATACTTTCACTGTCAAAGAGGGAAGGTTGTTCAGCTTGGAGGTCAGACACTGTTACACTGATGTCATTGCTAGCTCTTTCAGAGCTGCTTGAATATCTCTATTGCATACTATAGACATGTCTTTCCTATTTAAAAAGGAAGTTCTTCAGAACAAGGATAGCCTGTTGGTGCAAGTGTACATGTGTGTCTCCTGCCAGGAATATTATCTGTGCTTAAAAAATAATCTGACTCAGAGAACAGACTTCAACTTGGTGTATAAGTTAATACAATGAAGATGTCCCAGTGATTATCATATGTGACTGGGAGTAGGACTTCTCAGTTCTTTACTATGTCCAGCACATAATGAATTACTTTTGGCATATATTATGGCTTTGAGATACTCTATTTACCTTTCAGCTTTTGATAAAGTGGATCTAATAATCCTTGCTGTAGGGTTTTGTGAGAAAAAGTGATTGTTTTCTGAAGTGCTTTTAGAGCCTGGGAAAAAGGTATTAGTGTAAGTAATAATTCATATTTATGAATAACCTAGGAATTACATTTAAATGCAAATTAAACCTCATTGGGATTTTCTTTTTTAGGATCCTTTCCCTGTGGTAAGTATTGGGCTTATCACACAAATTATGACCATTGTTTTAGTAGAAGAAATGAGAAGGGTCTCTGTTGCTTCTCTGGGGCTTTTTCAGCTCACTTGCAAAATGCTTGTGTCTTTCAGATGAAGATTCTGATTCATATTCTCCTCGTTATTCCTATTCTGAGGACAGTAAGTACTTCTCATTTCTTGTGTAATCTGTCAAATAGAAAGTGCATGTAAACCATGTACTTATTTGGCTCTTATCCAGTTCCCCAATGCTTGTATATTTCTCATCCTACAGGCAGAACCCAGCTTTCAGTTCCCCGCTCCAAGAGTGCGATGGACAATATTGATTCAGAGAAGGCTGTTAAGAGGTCTGCCACTTTGCCACTGCCAAACCGTACTTCATCATTGAAATCAAGCCCAGAAAGGTGACCTGAACTTCAGTAGTGAAAGAATCTCTGAGAGCTGTGAATGGGAAGGGAACAAAGGTGGAAGCTTTAGGTCTACAACTCCATTTAAACTTCTTTTGAGGAAGTGGAGATATAGTTTTGTCTCAGACTCTTCTACTAGCTAGCAGTGAGCTCCATCATTGTCACATCCCAATCCTCCATTTTGTATGTCCCGTTTTTTACCGGGCATCCCACAGTCTGTTGCATAGTCTCCTCCCTGGGTGAGGAGTGCTTCCCTGGGTGTTGTGCCGATACAGTGCCTACCACAGAGGCACAGTGGAACCTCAGTGTGACACTGTAAGGCAACTCAGAATATAAGCAAGTAGCAGTAATTGTGGAGAAGTAAAACTTGGATTTATGTTGAGCCTTGGTAAAAGTTTTGTTACATTTTCAATTTCTGAGGAGTCCCACTCACATGAACTTTATTAGAAGTAGGTTCTTGGTAGTGGTGTCATTTCTGATGTTTCTTTTCTGTCTTCTGATCTTTTTTCCCTCACCAAATTCCACATGTTCTTAATGTTTTTCACTTTAAGAAAATTGCTGCCTAAAATGAGCAATGCTGTAATTTGAGATTGCTAATTCAGAGAACATCTCAAGCCACTGGATCAGGAGGCAGTGTCTGTTGATAAAACATGTCTTCCTTATGCAGGAATTGAAGGCATATTGCTTTGGCCCTCTGAGAAAACTCTTTCAACTGAAAAGATTGCAATAATTAGTGCTTCCTATTATCCTATATTCCTTCATTCCTTCCTTATCCTTCCTTATATTCCCTGTTCCTATTTTTCCTTTCTATATTCCTTTTCAGAGGAGCTGAACATTGTAGGATATGGACCCTGAATACCTTGTGACTACTGCTGTCTGAACTGTGCTAGTGTGGACACTGCACAAAATTATAGTGGTTTGGATAGTCAATAGACTGTTCTGAGTCATTAGATACACTAGTCTGAGATGATTTGTTCATATCTCTAGGGAAGACTCCCTCATGGACCCCAGCATGGCCCCTAATAGTAGTACTCAGGTAATCAGTGATGTGTGTAAAATGAAGAAGTTTAGCAAAAGAGATTTGAGTTCTGCCCAGTTTGGACGTGTTCATATTTGTGAGCTTAGTTGAAGCCCATCACTAAGCTAATTCTAATGAGGAAAGGTATGGAAGCCTGGAAGTTTATTGAAAGTACTTGCAAAAAAAAACCCCTCTGCTCCAGTGGTTTAGCAGTTGAGCTGTACGAAAGTGCTATAGATAAACAAATACACACCTGGAGCCCTAGCTGAACTATTCCTTTTGCAGCAGGCTTCTTTCCTAGATGGAAACAAGTACTCTAACACAGTAACAGTAAAGTAACAGAGTAACAGTAAAGTACTGGGTTTAACAGATTAACAGGGAAAGGCACCTGTCAAAAAGAAGTGCTTATCTCCACAGAGGCCACAGTGTTTTGAGTTAACTGATTTTCTTTCCTTAGGACTGACTGGGAGCCTCCGGACAAGAAGGTGGACACCAGAAAATACCGTGCAGAGCCCAGGAGCATTTATGACTATCAGCCAGGAAAGTCTTCAGTTCTGAACAATGAAAAGATGGTAATACTTCTTTTATACTATGTTGTGCCTTTATCCTGTGATTGTAAAATACTCCTCAAGTGCTTGTCCAGTTCCATTTACGTAGGATTCCTTATGCTTACATTGCAATGCTCATATTTCCTGTATATTTTGTTTAATAACTGGTTTTTGTTTTTAATAACTTCCTAACATTTTTGTTCTCTTTAAAGCAAGATCCAGGGGGATTGAGAGACTTCTTTGCTTTTCAACATGTTTTGTTTTCTGTGTTAAGTATGGATAACTAACCCTAGTTTTTAATCCATGTTTGACACTATGACCTCTTCAGCAGCTGTTTTGCCAGCTGTGCTTTTTCTATTGCACAGTGTTAGTTGGTGCAGGAGGGTTGAATGCATTATGCAACAAAGCAGGCTGGTTCAGTTTCTGTGTTCCTCTGAGGCTTTAAACACCTAATGCCTGATTTTTAGAGTACCTGTAATGTACCTCAGGGAATACCTCTGAGGTGAATTAGGGCATGGCCATCTCCCTAGGGCTGCTTTTTTCCGCAGCTGGATTTCACTATTCTGTGACAGAGGTGACAAAACTTAATGTGAGCTGGCTCTTCAGCTATGCCAGTGTGTAACCTGAAGTACAAAGTGAGGTTTTACCAATTCCAGTTTGAATCAGTAAGAGCTGCCATGAATTGTGACAGCTAGGGGACATAACAAAACTCTTATTCTGCAGGTTTGGCTGAGAACACTTGGCAAAGCACAGGGCAGAGAGCAGAGAGGTGGTGCTAACCTCCTAAGCCAGTCCTGCATAAATCACCACAGCTCACTCAAGGTGTTCTTCAGTGGTATAAGTGTGTAAGTGCTAGAAATGGTACAGGAAGATATAATTGTTCTATATAGGTGTTAATTTGAAGGACCATCATCAGCATAATTGAGAGAAATTGTTCAAAGCTCATCAAAGACAAGAAGAATGTGTTACTTCCAATGTTATTTTTTGAGTTTTAATTTCAAGCCATTGATCACAGAAGAAAGGAGGTCCTGAAGAAGTGGCTTCATGGTCTCTGTCTCATTAAATACAACACTAATATAGCGATTATCAACTAGATCTTTCAAGGAGGTTGCAGGAGATGTGTGATATCACAAATTACACCCATGTGCAATCACACCCATGACTATCAGAATTTCAATCCAAAACCACTTCAGAGCAATGAAGAGCCTCCTGTTGATGTCAGTGGGCTTTTTCCATGTGAAGGCAGTTATATAACAAGATGAGTACTTCTCGTTGGAGTGCAGTAAAGAAGAAAATAGAGGCATTGCTTCTATTGTGCCTTTAAGAAATAGGCAAATATTCCTCAGAGATTGGAGATCTGGAGATTGAACAAGATGTAATGATTTATCTTTGATATTGAAGCATTGCTTCTCCTTCAGATCACTCATGAGCTCTTGTCCTAGGGTGTTTGTTGTGATGTCTAATGGCTGTGTCAGAGTCTGGGACAACTTGCAAAGCCCAGCTATGTTGGGAACTCCCCATTGTCTCAGTAACCTCATCACAGAATGATTTGCATCAAGACACTTTGTATTGGCTCTCTGTGCATGTGTGTGGCTCATCGCTTGTTGTGATAGAGCACTTGGAATCACACTGGCATATCAGACGCAATGTATTTATGTTTTTAATGCACAGAGATCCATTATGTCTAAGACTAGGTACACTGAAATACAAGAGTTTGCTAGATGTCTTTATGAGGGTGGCAGCTCATAACCCTCAGCAATGGACTTTATTCTCTTATCTCACCAGTAATGCTTTTAAACAGCTACAAGTATTTCAACTTTTTTTGTTTCATTAAAACAGATTGTATGAACAAAAGGGAACTTACTTTTTACCTGTACTGTTTTCTGTCCTGTCTGATTTTTCCTTCTTTGTAGTTTTGTCTGATTCTCTAACTTTTATTTGTGAAGAAACAAGTAATATTGTCTCTCTATCCATCCCTTCAGAGATCTTTCAAGGATGCACTCTCTCTGACTTGTCTCCTTTGGTTCAGAAAACCACCATTCACTCTGTTTGCAGTGTATAGCACAGGGTTTCTCACATACTCATGTGCTGTTAAAGATGCAGTATTTGATTCAGGTCTCACTGAATCTCTATTTTTAACCAAATGAAGATCAAAAACAAAATTCTAAGTACATGCAGCTTTGGACTCAATGGAGTGTCTGACAGTAGGACTGAGGAACTGGTTGACTCCCAGCTCTTCCATTGAGTCTCCCTGTGACTCTGGCCAAGCAGCATTATCTCTCTCTCTGGGGTCTCCTGATCTGTAAAATGCAATTCATTCATATTCATGTTGCTCACTCACAATGATGCCGTTAGGCTTAACTGATGTTTGCAAAGCAGTTCATGGCCTTTGTGAGAGAGGTGCTACAGAAATTCCACATTATAAGGCGAAATATCTACATTTTAGAATGGGAACCATGGAATCTGCATCTCTAACAGTCCCTTTCCGTGTATTCTTTGCATAATGTTATCCTTCTCTTTCTTCCATTCCCCTATCACCAACTCCTTTAGACTCGGGATATAAGCCCAGAAGAGATAGATTTAAAGAATGAACCTTGGTATAAATTCTTTTCGGAATTGGAGTTTGGGAAACCGGTAAGTTTGATAGTTGCGATGACCAATGAAGTCAACCTGCCTTTTTTTTTTCTTTTTTGCCCCCTCCCCTTCCCTCCTTTTTTTAATGATTGTCACATTCCTTTGATAGGCCTTAAACCTGGAACAGTTGCCTCACATATTTAAAAATGTGATTGTTCATAACGTCACTCTGGTACTGATGCAAAGCAGGTGTTCTGTGACCACTTTAAGTATTTTTGTCATTTACAGACATTCCCCACCTTCCAGCCACATGTATCAATAAGGCAACATTTTTTCACACATCATAGTTCAAACTGCATTTTTATTGTTAATGTGTAAAAGTAATGCCTTGTTCTCATTACTGAAAGGCCTGATTCAAAGCCCTTATTCTCCCTCTGCCTAACAAGATCTTGGATGGCTGATAGGTGGCTTTAAGTCAAGGCGAATCGCTCATTTATTCCTGGCCTTGGCTTGTAAACTGTAGGTCAATAATTTCCAGCTATCCATAAACAGATCATGACCCTGTTTCCTGCTCATTTTCTTACGCATGTAGCTGCCCATTCCCTAAATGAGTTGCATCAGTCCGTGTTGAATAGCCCTTGCTATTCCCTGAAAGCAAAAGAGTCTGAGAACAGTGTGCTTTCTTTACAAATGTGTTGCTATGTGTGGGGAAAGGAAGAAAAAAAAAAGAAAAAAAAAGAGAAGAAACCCTTGATTTCCCACTCTGGAAAAGATGAAGTAAAGCTTAATTATTCAGTAGGACAAAGGACATTTTGATGGAGAGAACACAACAGTGGTCATGGCTACTGGAAAAAATGTGACTTTGAAGCATTTTATGGCCTGGTCCTTACTGGTTAAACACGTTAACTTCATTATTAAACGCTATTTAATAAGCTACTCTTACTGCACCAGAGGGTCAGTATCAGCCTCTTACATCTACTCAAGTATAGTGGTTGTTTCTCCCTTCTCCTGGAGGTCAGTCATCAGTTGCCCACGCACACCATTTTTTGAGTGCTACTGAGATTTCCCTGCATGTACAGCAAAACAGAATTACATTTTAAAATTCAGTGCTAGCAACTGCAACTGCACATGGACACCAGAGGACAGGTTTTCTTTAAATCCAGCTTTTGCTCTTATGGAAGTGACAAAATTCCTCTGCACAGAATGTAGCTGCCTGAGGTTGGGTGCCCAGTCTGATCACATCATAGAAATAGTGCAATTTTTGCTGAAAATCAAACATGCACAGGGGCTGTATGGTAGTCCATTTTGCCATAGCTATGTATTTGTAGCTATGAATCTTCCATCCTAAGTCAAAGAAGGAGCTTCAACAGTGTTTGAAATGAAACCTGCTAACTTTTAGCAGTAGAAGTCAGATAAAACCAACCTCACTGAAGCTTTGAAGTGATATCAGTGAAAGTATTTAACTCTTCACAAGTTGTCACAGTTTAAGATTTCCATGAATTGAGAAGAAACCTGGTTCTCTTTGCTGCTGCATAATTAATCACCCTATGCTCTTGAAATTAATGAATGTTTGCATCTCCATCATCCTTTGAGTTAGTGTAAATTAATGGAAAACATGTCAGAGAAGGGTGAATGTTTATGCTCTTGGGCCTTTTAGGAGTGAGGGTATATCTATTCCTCTAGAAGTGTGCATTTGTGCTTTTAGTCATGCAGACTTGGCCTTGCTTCAGAAGAAAGCATGTCAGGCTACACCAACATTCAATCATGTCAACTTGCCCTAGCTCCAGAGCCATACAACCATGTGCCCTGATCACTATGAATGTAGTATTCTGTACTTTGGCATCAAGCGCTTAAATTGAGGATGCCATCTCAGACTTCTATAGCTAGCAAAGCTCTCTCTGAGCTTCTTTACCACAGCCAATGGAGCATTCTTTTTGTAGTTTTGCTCACTCTGATCAGGAGAGGACAAGATTTTTGTTATCAGCTGGTGGCTAACTCTCATGCCTAACCAGAGAGTTTAAACTGATGTTTGCTAGTGCCTGGGATTTTCAAAGATTCTATTTGTTCCAGCTTTTTTTCCCAGTGCTGGAGATAAGGTGTACTTCTACAGGCATGCTTCTACAGGTGTGGTCTCCCCTGGCTTTCTGACTTTATTTGCAGCTATATGACATGGACAGGAAACACCTGCAGTAAAAGGATTCTCATAAGGATTCTCCTAAGTCTGTGGGTGTAGTTCTCCAAAGACAGCGGATGGCCAGGACAGGGCTCTCCCCATTGTAGAAGGCATATGTGCTTCTTAGGGCAGTGAAGCAACACTTCCCTGGACCAACATCCCAGATGCATTTCTGGGTAACTCCATGGACATGCATGTGCTCTGCAGATAGGTAGATCAGTCTCTGCAGTATGAATGTTTTTTCATTGTGCTGCTGGGACCAAATCCTCATGCACTCCTTCCTCCTGACCCATGGCTGTGCAGCTCCATGGAGCCCATCTGCGAAACATGACATTTGGTCAGTGTAGAGCTCTGTTGTCATCTGCTGTGATTGTGGGATCACGCACACAGGGACTTTCTCCCAGCCCTTCCTGAGATGGCACTGAGTAAACTCTGCTATAAATGGAGAAGCAGGGGGCTGGAAAAAGAGGTGTGTATCCTGTTCTCACCTCCTTCCCTTCAGTTCCTTGCTCCAAAACTTTGACCTAAATCTTTACAACACCATTTACACTCCTGCAATTGCTGATGTGATGGATAAGAAACAGGTATTTAGTATTTGCATCCACAGTGGCTGTCCAAATGCCAGCCAACAGGTTATTTTTGTTTGGAAACAGCAGATGTATTCTGATTTCATGAAGTAAGTCTTTTTGAGCATATTAGTGAGAGATGCATATCTGGTGAAACAAAGGTATTAGCATGGCATTTGGATAGGAGTGTCAGGACAAAGGTCTTTCACTTTGAATATGTGTACATGTGCATCCAAACAGGAAAATCCTATTTGGAAATTGATGCCTTCACCTACAGGATTAATTTTAAATAACTAGTTCCCAAACTTCAACATGTCCCACTCTTTCCACCAAAATCCTCCACAAGCAAACCCCCAAATGAGTGAAATAAAGAATAACAACTCTGCATTCTCATTACCCCACAATGCCACCACTGGAAATTCAGCCATTTGTTCACCTGGTATGTATTCATAGTCTGGTGTGAGGGGGGGGAAGATCCTCTGTTGTTCTTTTTTTTAACCAAAGGCCCTTGTTTTACCCTTTCATTTTGAAAAGAAGAATGAGCAAAACAAATGCTTTTTATGACTGTGTGTTTCCCCCTTTCCTCCCCCCCTCCCCCTTTGTTTTTTTGTGCTAAGAATGCTTTAACCACCACCTGTGGGCTCCCTCTAGAGAATCCAAAATCCCTTAGATCACCTTGCAAAAACAAGAATTTCCTCAAACACTACTGTAAACAGCCCCTCCCAGACTGCATGTATGCTCCCTTTTACTTCCCATGATCTCTTGATATTTGTGCTATAGCGGATTTATCCCTCTTTCTATCTTTCGTTCTCTGTTGTGTTTGGGGTTTTTTTTAACTTCTTTTCCATGTTGATGCAAATCCCCTGTTGTATTCCCTCTCTGTTCTAATCCAGTTTCCATATTCTCTGTGATGTCTTTCCTTATCTTCATTTCCTCATTTCCTTCCTCTGCTTTTCATCAGCCTCCAAAAAAGATTTGGGATTATACTCCTGGAGATTGCTCTATCCTTACTAGAGAGGATAGAAAGGTAATTGTGTCTCACGTACATTGTACTACAGCATCTAGCGCGTACGTATGTGTGTATGTGGTTTTCCTTTTTTTATTTTTCTTGTAGCATTGCTTGGGTTTTGTGTGCTTGTGAGTGATTTGTTTTAATTGGGCTTGAGCTCATTAGCCTAACAATTAAGTAACTAGTAAATCGATTTAATAAGCAATTCCTAAAGCATAATCAGCCATAATTTAGAGTGGTGGTTTTGCTATCTTGCAATGATAATGATACTAACAGCATATTGCATATTGTTACAGTGTCTTTTTTTTTTTTTTACAGGTGGGTTTTATAACTTTATGGTTTGTAGAATTAGATTCTAGCAGGCCTGTGCATCTCTTAATTTTCAGTGTTAAATGCTTAAAACTATTTCTTCTGTAATGATTGAATCATGATTAATTACTGGTGAATTTCTTTGTATTGTCCAAACCATCTTTGTCTTTTTTTGATTAAAAGGCTCGCCTTTTTTTTTTTTTTTTTTTAATTAACATTCCTTTGGTTTCCCCTAACCCTAAGCATTATTTTCCCATTCTTCTTCTCCTTCTTTAACCAGACTGATCTAGAAAAAGACCTCTACCTCTACCAGACTGAGTTAGAGGCAGATTTAGAAAAAATGGAGAAGCTTTATAAAGCGCCACATAAAAAGCCACAGAAGGTATTTCCTATTCTTTTCATGCTGCCAATCCCTGTTTCCAAACTCTCTGCTCTAATCTATTCACTGCTGGATGATTATTAAATGAGGTTGGGATAAATAATGGTTCTGACCGTTCTGACTGCATGGCTTGCTGTGTTGCTGTCAGAAATAATAGAACGTGATGCTGAGAATCCGGCTTGCAATCCATTTCAGATACAGATACATCTGCAGTGATTTCCTCTATCCCCCATTCCCTTTCAGCTGCCCAACCCCTCCCTCCCCCTCACATCTCCCTTTAGGATTTGGAGTTCAGTGTCTGCAAAAAAAAAAACCCTATTTTTCACATGAATAGGCAGCAGCAATCAGCTTAAAATTCTTGGTTGGCGTCACGTCATCATCTCGTGCCTTTCAAGCGTGTTGCCGTCTACCCTCCCTTCATCCAAGCCCTGCTCTCTCCTAGAAGCTCATGCCTATCCACGATTTGGATATTCCCAAGAGATTTTACACAATTTTTCTTATGCTGCACCTTGCCAGGGCCTTCTAGGGCAGGTCAGCTGCTGCTGCTGCTGCGCTTTTGAGGGTCTGCAGGACCCGAACCATGAAGCAATAGACTCATTTGGTAACACGCCATTTTTCTGTTTTATTCTGTTGTGATTGATTTTATATTTTGTTTTTGAAGCTGCAGCGTTTCACCAGCACCTGAGCAAAGCTGCTCGTTCTTTCTACATGGGAATTCTCAGATAGTTACCTCAGATAGAGCATTTCTGCTAAAATTGCCTTCGGTTTTTTAAATAATGTGCCTAGGAAGTGTTAGATGGATTTAAAGCAAGCGGATAAGAACTGGCTTTTGCAATTGAACCTGTGCAGCTGGCATTGCTTCTCTTAAGTAAGGAAATTGTACTGAAACATTGCTTTACTTGTTAGTGCTTTGGTATTGTTTTTTGAATGCTGGGGAGTATTTTGCTGCAGAAATGTAATATACCTTTAAAGCAAAGGCGGGCAGTGACCGGTTGGGGAAAAAGCTTGGGGAAATAATTATGAGCATGTGTCTCCTGGTCATGGCCCAGCTGGTTATCTCTTCTTGCTTTTGGCTTTATTCACAATGACTCATTTGCAGACAAAGAATAGGCTCTGTGAAAAGGCATCGACTATGCTGAAAACCTGTCACTGCCCTGAAGGAACTAGGGAAAATTGTCACTTTTCTGCAAAGACATTGACAGCTTAAATTTCATTTAGACTTAAACCTCAATGTCTTCTAAAGGCTAATATTCAAGCAGTAGATGGAAAATTACTTAGGCAAGCCTTTCTCCCCATGTGTGAGTGTGTGACAGTGACTTCTGTTTGGACTTTTGCAGAATACAGCAGGTGTCACTCCTCTGGAAACTTCCACAGACCATTCTTCCTAGTAAGTTTTCTGATTGCTTTTTGATGTTTCTTTTACCATCTGAGGGCATGTAGGACAGGGTTTTGGGTGTTGGAAATGGGTTGGCTTTATTTTTTGGTGATGGATATAGACAAATGTGTGTACCGTGAGAATTGTACAGGTGCTTTAGATGAGTCCAGGTACAATATCTGCTCTTTGATCTTGAATGAATTTTGAAGTAATTACATGAGTAATTTTATTGTCTAGATAAGAATTGCTGTTTATGCTAGGCAATGACTTTAAGGTCTGCTTTTGTTGTTGTTTGGGTTTTTTTAATCTCCATCATGATGTAGTTTGGAAATTGATTTAACTTCATGCAAGTAACTTAATTGTGTGGAATAAACAAAGTTTGTTTCTGATACACACTTATGATAGATTGGCTCCTGTTAGAGATTCCCAGTTACGTGCACCAGATCAAAAGGATGCCGTTGATGGAAGGAAGTAGTTTTCCAGCTTCCAGGAGGGAACAATGGTAGTAGTAATGATACTTCTCTATAGAAAAAAAATATCTAAATTAGATTTCTGAAGTTCTAATGTGGGTTTGCTTTTCTGAAGGAATACATAATAAACAGTAAACTGTCTAAATCAGTTGCATATGGAGCTGGTTTGTTTTAAAAAAGGAACACACACACACAGAACAAATCCAGATCAAGATGCTCAGTTGTACTGAGTTACTTAAGCTGTACTAAGGTACTTGAGCTATGGAGCCAGCTCCTACTGGGAAGCCACTACTCCTTGTAATCGGACAGAATGCTTAACATTGTCTGTATGTACAGAGATCCCCTCTGCATGGATGGTTGGTAGGAAAGGCATGTTCTTTTCCAGACACTCGTTAATATCACGTGTTCACCACCCCTCTGGGGCTGTCTTAGAGATACCTCTTTGAACTCTGTTGCCTTCTGTTTGTGCTCATTGTGCTGAGAAACTTGCACACTGCTGTATTTTATTGTTTGCTCCTATGACTGTTTAGTTTTGTTTTGGTAGGGAGAGAGCAATAAGATAAATGAAAATCTCAGAGATTAGTATAAAAAGCTTATATTTGCCAAAGGACTACTAAGGTTTCCGCCCACAGGAGCACTGTCTGTCACCTTTCTGACACCACCAAAAACACACAGGCATTCTAGTGCCTGAGCCAGTGAAGGGATGGTCTAGGAATGGGACAAAACAGTGAGGCCTGGTGTGAGAGTTGCACATTCTTCACTGCCCCATCTTTAGAGAGCAGGGAGAAAAGATACCTGGAGTTTATTGGCTTTTTTGCAGTGTTGCTCTTCCCTCTGTTTACCTGATTCTGATGTTGCAGCCTGCTTTGGCCCTAATAAGGGAGCAACTGCTAAAGGAGCTCTCCAAAGGCCTCCTCTCTCTCCCCCAACTGTATTCTGAAAGGTGAATAGTTTTAACTCTTTGGTTTTTAACAACTAGGCTAAAATGCTTTTACTTCCCAGGTGAGGAACTTCAGGGCAGTCATTATTCCCTGCAGCAACTGGCAAGGCTTCCCTGTCAGGGAACCTGACAAAGAGAAGCACTGGGATAACCCCCGTAAGACACAAATCCTCTGTAGCTGTCAGTCTGTTTGAGCATTGCCTAGGTTGAAAAAGTGACAGTATTCCCTTTCTGTTTTGTGGTGCTTTTCATGAGCTTTTACTCCAGAAAGTGATTTATGAGACTGCATATGACCTGGTTTTCCTTGTCCAGAAAGTAAAATCTTCTCTGTGATCCAGACGTTGTGTAATTCCACCTCTGTAGCCAGTCCTCTGATGTATTTGAAATCTTTCTCTTTCCCCATAAGTACAGCATGTATCCAAAATAAACAGATGCATGTACAAATCTGTCCCCAACAAGCAGGCATAACCACAAGCATTTCCACACTTACATAAGTTTGAATCACTCCTGGACATGACAATGCTCACCGGCTTTCAAAATGTTTCCATGAACTGGCAAATGCCATGCTTTTTTATTTTTTCAAGCTTTCCAGCAGTCATGCTTTGGCCCAAAAATAGCTTTCTGTGAAACTGCATCTTATTCTGAAGAGCTCAGTTCAGCGCAAAAACTGGTATCAGGTGAGTTTAGCTTTTAGAAAAACACTGTCTGCCTGATTGCTCAGTAAGCCTTTTGTACCTGGCAAGGCAATTTATACCACAGCATTGCAATTATTATTTTTTTATAGAGAGAAATCTAGAAAGCAGATGTAGGGGCATACTTGTACTCAGATTCCTGTCTGAGGAAAGGGATTTGTGATGAATGTTCAGTCTTTAAAAGACGAAGAAATTAAAATTGTACTCACCTTAGCAGCATTTTGTTTATACATCTGCATGGTAGACCCAGAGTCCGGTGTTTTTCATTCCCTCTAGTGAAAGCCTAAGGAAAAGCTGAGCAGAACTCTGTACATCTGGGAGTTTCTTTGGTATTTAAAACAGTAGTGTCAGTAGCCTCATGCTGTTTCTTCTCTGCATGGTCCCCCACCAGTGGGATTCAGAAATTGCTCTGGAAGTCGTGAACTATAGTGTTGGTAACACTATAGTAAGCTGAATTGGTAAGCTGAATTGGTTGGGATGAACTCCTGAGCAGCTGTGCTTTGTAAGCAGGGTACAGGCATGGCTAGTGTTTAAGGAGAGAGGGCTGGCAGCTGAAAGTTATTTGTTCTACTTCCAGCTAGCAAGTGAATTTGTGTCTGTAAAGAAATGGTGCATCTGCTCAGACTCTCCTGTCTAATCTGTGAAATGAAGAAGGAGTGGTTTTCTGCTACCTGTTTTCTGTGGGACTGAGCTGGGAGAGTTTCCACAGGTGGAGAATGCTATGGTAGTGCCAAATCTAGAACATTATTGAAATGTCATATTCTTCATTCAGAACCAATTCTTCATACTCAGTTTATTCTGTGTTCACAAGTGTGGTTTTCTCTTACTCTGCAGGAAGCTCTCAGCAAACAGAAATGACTCGCTGGTGTCCCTCCTCTTTTGTGTTTTCCAGCTCTGCATATTCACCCAACTACCAAGCAGTGAAGAGGGAATCGGAACCAGACCCTGCTGGCTTGGAGAATGAAAGGCAGATATACAAGAGTGTGCTGGAAGGTGGAGATATCCCATTCCAGGGGCTGAGTGGCCTCAAGCGACCTTCTAGCTCTGCTTCCACAAAAGGTAGGTGGTCAGGGCACTAACCTCTTCATTCTGCACAGTGTCAAAAGACAGGTGATAATGGTGCGAACTGCTGCAAGGTTGATAGTCCTCAACCAAGTTCAGGTTTCCTTGTCCTCCCTCTTGCCATACCCCGTTTTCCCTCCATTTTTGTCTTAGACCACACTGGCCAATAATTTTCATGACCCCTTTATCTGATCCAGGTTCCTCTTTCCAACAGGGACCAGCTCACTGCATCCAGCACATCAACCACACCCTGTACCCTAATGTTCTTCCTCAAGGCTGCTTAAGCTGGCCTTGTTATCCATCTGCTCCCACTACCTTGCCATGCTGGAGCCCTTCCCTGCCCATTCTGCTCTTCCTGCTATGGTATCTCAGCAGGCCACACCATGTCTGCTGGCCTGGCTACCTTGATGTAGCTGGAACTGTGTGCTCCACAGCCTCCTGCCTGCTAGGGGTGTGTGGAGAATGCATGGGATACTGTGAACCAGCAATGCCCGGCAGGCTCTGAGACAGGGAGGCAGCAGGGACTGCTGCACCTCTTCCCCATTCCTTCCCCCATCATGGACTCTCTAGAGTAGGACAAGGAAGAGCCTGATTCCCATAAGGGAGTTGTACTGGGGAATATATCCTGAGCCAACTTCTACCTAAAAATGGCTTCAGATGGGGAGAGGACTGAGGAAGGAATGCATTGGCTTTCTGAACTGCTCTCCCTAAAAATAGTACATCATACCAAAAAGGTCTCTCTCTGTCTCCATCTTTCAGCTGTTTTCAGCCTTATGTCAGGCCTGTAGGGCTGGGAGTCAAACTGGGTCTGAACAAAAAAATCTGTTCAAACAGTTATTATTTCCCAAACTGCAATTGAACCTGAATGGAGGTTTTGACATCCAAGTTTAAATTCAAATTGGAGACTGACCTAAAAACTGCAGTCTAAGCTGAAATCAGACTGAATCTGAATTAAAAAAAAAAAAAAGTAGTGTCCTGATCTGACTCCTTGATTTTTAAAGGAAATATGCCAACCACAGTGTCTGAAGGACACTTGGCTTATTCCTAGTGTGGGGACTCTCAAAGAAGGCTGTTCTCGAGCAACACCAGTTGCTGTGGCCTGGGTGTGCTAACAGCCAACCACAAATTGCCATCTTCCTCCCAAAAAGAAACTGTTTGACAAGCAATGTGATGAGACCATAGTAGGTGTGATTACAAGCTTTACAATGAAGCCATTTTTGCAATGTTAGTGCCCCTGCATCCTTGCTGACACCCTGATCCTGCCCACAATTCAGCTGCCCTTTTCCATGGTGCTGCAGCTTTCCTAGAAGCTGATGTGCTAGCACTTTTTCAGGAGGGTACCTTCACAGTGCTCCAGGTCTGCTTCTGGCCAAGCCTCACATTTTAGAGATGTTAGCAGCACTTCACCTGGTCCTGTAAGCGTGGCTTGTTCTGCAGTTTCTGCCTGCTTTTCTTTGGTTTGAAACTTTGTTTCTTTAAAGTGCATTTTATGAAATCCAAGCATGTTCTTTCTCCTTTCTCAACAGCTTTCTAGCACTTAAGCTAACAGGTTGTATTTATTTTGTTCTGCATGCTTACCAGTGGATCATAAAGGTGGGAATGCTCATATGACTGCACCCTCTTCAGTTAATAGCCGAACCTTTAACGCTAGTCATACCGGTATGTTAGGTCACGCATGTAAACATAAGAAGCCCTTATCAGCTGCAAAAGCCTGCATTACTGAAATCCTCCCTTCTAAATTCAAACCCAGACTAGCAGCTCCAGCTGTTCTTGTGCAGGACAAGAAGGGTATCTTGCTGCCTCATGAGAAAGCTCAAAGCTGCGAAAACCTTCGTAGCTCCATTACCTTGTTTGATAATAAAAAAGCTTTCATGGTAGACATAGGGGAAAGCATAGAAAACATGTTGATGAAGTCGAAGGAGGAGTATGCCGTCAGATCTGGCAGTACCATGAGCCTGCAGGAGTATGGTACCAATTCTAGGAAAGGCTACCTGTTCCCTGCCTCCAAGAAGAGTGGGATGGAATTTACAATGCTGTATAAAGACATGCACCAGATCAACCGGTCCAGGATCCATTTGAGCACAGCCTCCTCCTGCAGTGTGAGGGATATTGCATCTCAGTTTGAGAATGAAGCAAAGGACAGGATGGAGCACAGCCTTAGTCGAGAGGATTCAGAGCAGATTCCGAAACACACCGTTTCCTCCCGTATCAGTGCCTTTGAGCAGCTGATCCAGAGATCCCGATCAATGCCCTCACTTGACTTTTCCACTGGACAAAACAAACTCACCACTTCTCTCCAGTCTAAAACTTGCCTCAGTTCAGCCTACTCTGCAGAGTTTCTGCTGGATTTGCCAAAAGCACACCAAGAAGAGAAGGATGCTACCAGCTTGGCAGATAAATCCTCTCGCTCCTGCAGCAACATGGAGGACACTGCTTCTGATGTCAGTGATGCCATCCCTATGGACACACTTTCAGCTTGCACGGATGAGATAGAACTCCTCTCAAATGCATCCAACGACAGTGGTGGCAGCAGCAACCTCAGTGGGCCTCAGAAGCATAAAATCAACAGATGCAAAGGCACATGCCCAGCTTCCTACACCAGGTTCACTACCATCCGAAGGCATGAGCAGCAGCAGGCCTCCAGGAGCCCTGATTCCAAAGGGGATGTCTATGGAGACAAACACCTGCTCCCCAGAAATGTCTACCTAATGAGCCCGCTGCCCTTCCGATTGAAAAAGCCCTTCCAACACAAATCCCGCAGGACTCCACCCCTAGACTGCCCGGGAAGCCTGGCAGTACCCAGCCCTGAGAACCCAGGTGACCCTATACAGCTGCAGGGAGGCATAGGAGACAAGAGTCACCACTTCCAGCACCAACTGTGCTCCACCAGAAGCAGGCCTCTAGCCCCCATGCGCCTGTCTTCCTATGACATTGTGGAGAGGCTTAGCTACTTCCCCACCAATGGATCTAGCCAAGATAGCTTCATGGGCCGGGCTGACACTCCTGACTCCTTAAATATGAACCCTGTTCCATATGCCCTCTGTCACAGCCTGGACACAAACAACAACCCGCAAAGTGAACTTGGGACATACCTAGGAGGTGGCTTTTTGTGTTCTTTACCAGTGTCCCTTCATCTGTCTTCCTGCTTCCTTTTCCCTCCCCTTTTCTTCCACAACCCTTGCATTTTTACTCCCCACCTTTGCCTCCCCTGACTCTCTGGTTTTTCCCCTCGTGTGTCTAACGTCCTTTGCGTGTTTTGCTGGACATTTTTGTTGAGGACTTGTTTACAGCTGCACTTCTGAGAAACCATTTCTGCTGCCTTTCTAATCACATCAGTTTCAGTTTGTCTCTCAAGCAACTCTGGGGATGCAAGAATCTCAACATGAGATGTTTCTAGTCCTGTATCATTTGCGCGCATGGGAATACAAACCAAACCCAGATGATTTGCTTTAAGGAGTAGTTTCTCAAGGTCTAGTTGTGTGTGTGTGTGTGTGTGTGTGTGTGTGTGTGTTAAATTTTTCTCAACAGTAAAATGCCAAATCATACTTTTGATGGCAGCGAATCTTTTCTTCACAAAGTCCTTCTATGTCTTTACACTTTCTCGTACTGTTATTTACTCCCTGTTTTTTTGACCTTTGTTCACAAGTACAGCCCAAAAGGGAAAAAATGAAAATGGATAAATTATTGGGCCTCTGATTGGCAATTTGGTCAACAGCAATTGAGAATCCTTATTGTCAGAATGGAAACAAATTGTTTTAAAATATCTATTTTTTTCCTTTCTGGTTATGCTAGATAAATCCATCTGTATTTTAACTTCCTTATGTTGTTTCGAAGTAGATTCAGAATCACCAAGGTATTTTGCACCAGTTGATTACATGGAAACTCCAGAAGAAATTATCCGCAGACGGCATGACGATAAAGAGGTAATGCCCTCCTTTATGACCTAATAACAGTTGTAGAAGCTGCATAGATAAGACATAGAGCATTCAGCCTTATTTGAGGACAGCTTGTATGTCCATGGCTAAGTATATTGGAAATTAGAACAATCTAGCTGGAACTAGTATGCTTTAATTTTAATAATACTTCTGACACTGATTTAATGTATAATGTGTAGTCCAGATTAGTTTTTGTTTAAAATAAAACTGACAGTTATTCTCAATTGCATAAAATTGTATGTGGGGCCTTTAAAGACTGTAAAAAGGTTGGAGATGTGTATGAGATGTGGTACAACACCCGGTACTGACAGATAAAGATGAAATGGTTACTCTGTGAATTAAGGTTTTATTGTTCTCTGAGCAAGCCTCTTGAGTCAGTATTAATCACACTGGTGAGAACAGTGTTTTCTTGTGGGGGATCCTTATGTTTTGAACAGCAAATGTAAGGTATTTTAAGCTACCAGAAAGTGTGAAGTTTTCCCTCAGTGCAAACTAGAATTCTTTATGGCATCTCAAGTTGTTGATGACCAAATGTAGCAGTCCTTTCCAAACTGGCTGGTCAACACTGGGAAAAGCCAAAATAATAGGAAAACCACATAGACTTTTCAGCACTGACTGTATTCACACTGAGTTAAAAAAGTTACAAAGTGATTGCTTTCCAGGAAGCTGGGTTTAATTTTCACTGTGGGAGTGGGGAGGGAAAGATACATTTTTAGTGTTGACTTTCTCAGTTCGGATAATGTGTATGTGTGCTTTGAAAGATGGTAAAACCTGCTCTTAATTTCTATGTGAAATTTTTTTTTGCTGTCTTCTCCTGTGAAAGACTTGGTAATCCCCTCATTTCTGAAATCCAGCACAAGAAGTCAGAGCAAAACTCTGAATTCACTAAGACCTACTGCTTCAAATAAATTGGCATGGAGCTGAACTCTTCAGCCTACAGTCAGCCCTAAAAGGTGGAAGAATCCTTCTACCCAGATGCTCAAGAATGCCCATTTCCCTTAGTGCTCCAGAGACTTCAGAAGTCCAAAATAACTATTTGGGGTTTATTTATTTTACAAAGTTACATGAAACCAAAGGAAGTATGGAGGATGTGAAACCTGAAGGTGGTTAGGATCTCTCCCAAGCTCTTTGCAAACCCCAGGGGAGTTTGATGCCTTGGAACTTACTTTGTGGACCTGATTCAGGTCTCTCGGAAGTCAATGAGAGAAACTTTGTTGGTTGAAGGGTGTTTGGATCAGCCATCTGCATTATCAACGATATTCTTAGAAACTCCCAGGACCCCTCCAGAACTTAGAAAAACTCCTTGTTGTCTTCCATTAGCTTTGGATCAGATCCTCTGCCTGAGCTGGATTTCAGTTATGCCATAATGGTGTTTTATTTTCTGTGGCTGTAAAATGAAAGGATATTGTGTAATTAGCAGAATCAGTATTTTATGTTGAACTGTAAAAGTCTAGCTATTTGCTGAGACCTCCGAAGTTTTACTTAAGTCACATTTGTGGCAGCTTTTGAATACATTTAACTAGATGATTTACTGCCCATTTTATGCAATTTTATGGCAGAAACTTTTAGAGGACCAGAGACGGCTTAAACGTGAGCAAGAAGAAGCAGATATTGCAGCTAGAAGGCACACAGGGGTTATTCCAACGCACCATCAGTTTATCACTAATGAGCGATTTGGGGACCTCCTAAATGTAGACGATACAGCAAAGAGGAAATCTGGGTCAGAGGTCTGTTTTAGTTGCCTCAATCTGCTGCTTGACCCAAAGCAATATTCACCTCTCACAAAGTTGTGCTTTAGGCCGACATTAGCTCTTCAGAGAATGTTCGGGTTTTTTTCCAACTTCCCCTTTCCCACTCTGGCTTCATTTAGATCTGCTTTGACTCCTGTGCCTGGTAAATTAATTGATACCTTGTTATCAAGCTGCATATGTTAAAGCATGGCTGCTGAGAATCGCTGGTGCACACCTGTGATGCATGCCTTTAAAGATCAGCTACTTTTAGTGAATCAAAGGCATTCTACATCTTTTGCATCATATTGCTACATTGTTGTGTTGTCTGTGCCTTATGCTTAGAAACTTCATGTCTTGTTGATCCTGGCCATGTCACTGTCTTGTAGTTTTATTTAGAAATACATTGTTTCTTTTCCTCTTGAAAGGTGCTTAACATCCTTTAGGAACAACTGGAAAAAGTCTTGGCATGTTTCACTGCATACGACCCAGTTGGTCTTTCTGAAGGAGACAAAGGAGGAAGTAGATGCATTTCCCATGAGCCCAAGGCACTTTTCCTAAGGGCTGAATGCTACTTCAGGTGTCCTGGCTAAATGCCTTTTTCTGCCTTAGGGATTTTTGCTGGGGCTTTTGACAGTGGTTCTATTTCCCCAGGGGTGCTGCACTGCAGCGGTGCTTGAGGTGGTCACCGCATGGATGGAGTACACTTGTCTGCCCTGTATGTACTTTCAGATGCTCTGGTGCCACATGAATGTGACTGCTGCTTATTTTGTGCTCTGCTACCAAAATTACGTTAAAATTGTCTGACTATTGTGTGTCCATTAGAAACTCAGCCAAGTATATCAATTTTTAAAGCAGAGGCCTGCTGTCAATGTCACCTTCAGCATTGTAGCCACTGGAGACATTTTTCTAGCTACATACTTAATTTATTCATAATTCCTCCTCACCTTTGTCTCTTTCCTACCAATTTATATAAAGTACATGGGTCACATTGCAGGAATCAGCAGGACCAGATAATAATCCGTTAAGAACCACATAAAATAAAGTCCTGCTGTTCTTTCCCCCAGTTAGTAAATTTTGCTTTTTCATTTACGTATCAGGAAAAATTTGGTCCTGGAGCCCCAGTAACTGTAGTTACTGGAGCAGCTTTCATTCAGCAGGGTTTGCCACATTTAAAAGTTTATTGGTGTTAAATCCATGTCCTGTAGAGCTGTTAATTACTATTATAGCAGAAGCTGGCACTTTTTGCCCTGGTGGGAGAGACCCATCCAACATATTTGCATTGTAGTACCAGTTGCACACAATGCAGAATACCTGCATTCAATTTCTTCCCCAGACTAATGTTAGCTGTAGAAGAGTTTGGGTGTTTTTCCTCAGAAGAGGGTTAAAAACATAATTATTAATTTTAATGTGTTGATTTTTTCTTTTTTTTTTTTTTTTCGGATCTCTAGATGAGACCTGCTAGAGCCAAGTTTGACTTTAAAGCACAGACGCTAAAGTGAGTACAGCTCTTTACTACTGCCTTGAGTGTTCTTCATCTGCTTTTTTCCCTAGGATGCAGCATTTTTGAAGTGTCATGGAACTGCATTCATGTTTTGGGAGTATCTTAGAAGCAGCTTAAACCAAAGCTGTCCATAGTAAGACAGGGAAAAGTAATATGGATTTTACAGGTCATATTCTCTAAAGGACTTTCAGGAACATGTCTTCTTTCTCAGTGCACCTGTAACCCAGGAACAAATTAGTGGTCTGCTCTGGGGGTGAGTTGAGCCATGGGAAGGTGCTCTGGTTGATGTTCTTCCACACACCTTGTAAGTGCAGAAGCTCTGGCACTGCCCTTGTGCTGGAGGTAGAAGGGACTTCACAACATCCCTGGTTGTGCTCCAACCTCTGGGCCGAAAGAACTGTATTAGTCAGTAGCTTACTACCATACCGGTAGTAAATCTATCATACAGGTGGTCAGAACAACATATATATGCAGAACAGCAGCATCCTTTTCACTGTGCTAAGCATTGGGACTTAAACAGTTGTCTGACTTTAAGCATGTCAAGGTGTGCCCTTAACTCAGGATTTTTCTGATTCAGGAGCTGTAAGGTTACAGAGTGGTCACGCCTCCTCTGGCATCTGTGGCTACACCAGTGGATGCCTCTGATGTACCACATGCCCTGTTGCAGTGCCTTGCGTGAATTGCACAGCAATACTCATTCTTTTTGGGAGACACTGTTGTGAAGAGAAGGCCTAGAAGGCCCTCTGCATGACCTTGGAGAAGCTCTTATTTTAACATTGCTAGAGAAGAAAGAAAGAGAGCAGAATTCAGTGAAGGATCTGCTGTTTTTCTTCTCAGCTGCTAATGACCTGGAAGTATTCTGTATATGTTCTATATGTGATGATTTACACAGCATCTCCCCAGCACCTGTAGTAAAAGAGAGGCAGATGTAATTCTCAACATGTAGCTTTCACTTCGCATGGAGCATGATTTGTATCAATAGGGCTGATGCAGACCTTGGTACTTCAGGATTGCTGGACAGAAAAGAAGCACATCTGTTCTCCAGTGATGTTCTTATGGAGCACTTGTGTTGTTAACAGGGAGCTTCCTCTGCAAAAAGGAGATATTGTTTACATTTACAAGCAGATTGACCAGAACTGGTATGAAGGCGAACACCATGGCAGAGTTGGCATCTTCCCACGATCATACATAGAGGTAGCTGCTTTCCTTGCAGGTGTTCTCTTTGCCCAATCCCTTTCTGCCAGTGACCAGTTTATGGGCTTTTTATATGTGACTCATATGATTCTGTTTGTTCATTCCAGCTCCTCCCACCAGCTGAGAAAGCTCAGCCCAAAAAGCCATCACCATTGCAAGTATTGGAATATGGAGATGCTATTGCCAAGTTCAACTTCAATGGAGATACCCAAGTGGAAATGTCCTTCAGAAAGGTAGGACTTTCATTGTGCTGATGAACTGAATCCAGACATATGTTTTTTAACTAGTAACTTGCAGTTTCCAAATGAAAGCTCAAATAAGGTGAAGTCCATATTCAGGAAGGATTCCTTCTTACCACCCATGTTTTCACTCTATACTCATCATGCAGTGTATTGCAGAGACAGTCAGGTAGGCTGACTCAGGAAGTGTCAGTTGCTTCCTTAGGGCTAGCTAAGAAGATACTTTGAGCACAAGTGCTGAAAGCCTGGCTCTGCATGACACATTAGATATTTGGTGACATGTCTCCAGTCCGATCCTCTCCAATGGAGATGCATACAGTCACATGAGAACAGCAGTATAAAAGAGAAGGAAACTAGATTCATCTTCCTTCATGCCACAAGCCAAATAATAGAGACAGTCAAGTTGTGTATGGGTTGTGTAATGGCTGTTCAGAGCAGTCAGACATCTCAACCAGCTTTCTGTTTTACAGCTCAGATTAGATTTTGTCTAATTCTCTTTTAATTGTACATGAAGGTAAGGCTTGCACTTTATATTAGTGGTCTGGAAGTCAGTTCCTATGTCAGCAGAAGAGGAGAGAGAGCAGAGACCCAGTTTAAACTGCAGACCTGTGCATATGCCTTGTATATCTCATACCCAGGAGTCTTGTGGTCAGCCTGAAACTGCTGCTTTCCATTTTTTTAATTGGCTATAGCAAGTAGAGTCCTAAAAATGTGAGCATAACTGAGTCTGCAGACAGCCCAAGTCAGCTCCAGAATATATGCATTTCCCTCTTCTCTGAACTGAAAAATATCATTCCACCCAGAGCCTAGGGTTCCTGCATAACTGGGAAATGGAGGAGGCTGAGAGCCACCAATTGTTTTAAATCAGATGCAGCAAGATTAAAAATGTAATCTTCTTTGGATTGATGAAATATGTTAAGATCAGGACTACATTACTGTTCCTTCCCATAGGGTGAAAGGATCACATTGATTCGACGAGTGGATGAGAATTGGTACGAAGGCAGAATCTCTGGCACCAATCGTCAAGGCATCTTCCCTGTCACTTATGTGGAAGTGCTGAAGCGGCCAGTGGTCAAGAATGCCATTGACTATCCTGACCCACCAACGTCCATCTCCCCTAACCGCAGCATGACAGCCTCACCACAGGTATTTGGACCAGATGCAGCCAGTTACAACACCTTGTAGAACAGAGGAATGTTGCTGTTGCTGCAGCTAAGACTAGTGTTCTGCGTAGTAAAAGCCATGTGCTCCCTGCAATATAGTGCAACTGCAGGAAAACATGATGTTTCATTTACCAGAAGGGTTAGTGAATGGGTCACGTGGGGATTTGGAGACTCAGCTTTTCATCTCTGATCTGTAGCTTGAATTCAGGCCAGGTTGAAAGGGCTACAGTTCACTGCCATCTGAACAAATTTCACTGCCAGAGATAAAATGAATTGGTGGTCCAGCTCCTCATGAGTCCTTGCTTACACTTTATAGACCTCCACTGTGAAGAGTGAATTTCTTATTATGACTATCAAAAGGGTGTCGCAGACTGTTATAGTCTGTAGCAGTCATTATGTTAATTCCAGTCAGCTTGAATCAAGCTGTGTATTTGCCCTTAAATGTTCCAGCTCAAAACCAAGGTTTTGGGAGACAGGGTCAGGAGAGCAGCCTGTATTATTTGAAATTGGTGCTAAACGAACTCAGGGTTTGAAAGCAGGCCAGTCTGGGATCTTAGACGAATATTACAGTCGCTATAAACCATGCTGCAGTTCAAAGCAAAAATCAAAATGGCAGCAGGTAATTATGTGGGGATCCCAGAATGTTTGCTGTGGAAAATATATCAGGGCAGCAGTGAGTCTCTAAATCCCTTTCTTTTGCTCTCATCCTGAAAATACTCATGCTTGAAGGTCAGCATATGTGTTTGGTTTGCAGCCATGAGGTTCTGGTACATCTCTCTCTCACCCATGGGACAGAAGCAAGGTCATTCTGAGGTCAAGCCTCCAAGGAACAGAAGTGGAGAACTGGGATCAGGAGGGAAGGGGAAGGCTACCATGGCTCATGCCTGGTGTCTATCTGGATCTTCCCTAAAAGGAGTGTTTTTATTCTTAGCCACTATGTAAACAGGAAAGACTTGTTGCTTTTTGGGGGTCCCCTGTCAAAGTGGACCTCAGTTGAGCTTTTCTGTTTGAGCTTGGCAGTCTCTCTCCATGGCTGTGACCTGTCTGCTGCCAGCTGTCTGCGAGCTTCTCCCTTTAATGGAAGGGATCATGTTCACCCTTTTTTCATTTCTTTTACTATTCTTGTGATTCTTCCTCTGGTAAATCAATTCTCTCCCTTACTTTTTTTTGTCTAACTTGGCAGAGGACTGAGGAAACACTATGATCAGTGCTAATGTAGCTGATCTCACTGACATTACTGGTTGTAATAGCTAAGGGCAGAAGTCAGTTGTGTGTTCTGCCTTTATAAACATAGGACCTACTTTAATCACCAAAATGCCAAATAGCCACAGTCGGCTTTTTTATCCCTTTCTCCTCCACAGCATCAGCAGTGCAAGTCTCTTGAGGAGCAGGCATTGCTCATGCTAGAGTGGATAAAGTCAAAATTCATTGCAGCAGTGAATTCTGACTTGGCTTCACAGTGTGAGTTGCTGGGGCCCCAGCTGTTACTGCGGGACAGTCAAATGCTACATGTTGCCATCACGAATGGTGGCTTCAACTGCTCCCTAAGGGACTTAGGACATACAGTATGAAGTCTTTAAGTCTTCCGCAAGATGTTTTGTGCCTGGGAACCTGAGAAAGGCTGGAGAAGGTTATTGGCAGCACAGACACACACTGGACCCTGTGGTTGGAGTAGCCGTGAACAGCATGTTCTCCACACAGTGCGCTGTCTGTGGAAGACCTAAGCACCATGCTTGATCACGGATCTGCTCTTCTCCATTCTCGTTTGCTCTCCTTTTACTTTTGCTCAGTCACTTTATATATTCCTTTGTTTTGGTTTGGTTTTTTTTTGTTGTTGTTCATTTCTTTCTTTTTCTCTCCCACTTTTGTCTCCTTTAAGTCTCCCAGCTCTGAGCAGCTCCATACGCCAACTCCTCCACCTTTGCCTTTCGCACGCTGTGCCTTATCTCCAGAGGTGCAGGCAGTCACATCTGAGTGGATTGCTCTGACCGTGGGAGTATCTCCTAGCCCCACTCCTGCCATAACTCCTCCATTGCCTCCTCCACCTGAAGCCTCTCTCTCTCACTCTGGCTATCTCTCACCTTCTGCTGCAGCCAGCCCTTCCCCCACGGTCAGCCTCCACCATTCTCTTCTCTCTGGCTCCTCAACTCCCAGGTCCACTAAATCCCCATTGCCCTCTTACTCATCCAGACCTCAGTCCTCCACCCACAGTTTCTATGAGGCCACCCCACAAAGCGAAGAAAAGTTTGTTCGTTCCCCTTCTCCCAGCATGAGCTACTCTAACTCCCCTCGCTGGGCAGCGGAGAGCCCCGAAGGCATCTTCACAGAGCAGCGTGACATCGCTGGCAGCCAAACCTGGCTCCAAAAGACTGGAGAGGGCAGCAGCAACCCTGAGCAGGGTGCTCCCACTGCTCCCAAGATCTCTGTTGAGCGCTGCCTGAAACCATCCCAACTAGACATGCGTGTGAGCCCAGAAAAGAGACTTGTGGGTTCGTCTGAGGACAACCAGTTGTGTCAGGAACTAATGGCTATTGTGCAGGGAGGTAAAACAGAGAAAAGAGGCATGAGGAAAGGTGATCTGGGAAAGTTTCAAAGCGGGGAAAATAAGGTACTTCTCCTGCATGTGTGTGTGTTGCTCTGAATTGCTGATTTTAACTGGTGTGTTAAGGTTTGTGCTGCTCTGCTGGCCAGGCAGAGCCAGTGATTGCCACACATAATTTTGATGTTCCTAAAAACTTCTTCCAGGGTTTACCGGTGGTGTTCACTGGGTAGTAGATCAAAAAGTTTTAGAAGAGGGCTCAGGAGCAGTGTAGTGAAAATTATTTTAGAATAGGTAATAACAAAGGACTGACTCAACTGGTCACCTCTAATGAGGTGATTGTCCCAGATAGTGGCTGTTACCAGATGTGTCAGATGAAAGTATCACACAGGCCTCATGCACATATACCTATATTCCACTGTGTGGAATACAAGCAATTCCTTGCTATTCAGGGATTTTTCCAGTGCATAATGGATCATCTTTGTTTATAGGATTTATTTGTTCCTCCTAAAGCCAAGGACTAAAAGCCTTGTAAATGTCAACCTGGCTCCTAGCATCACAAAGGCTGTCCCTTGATGATCCCAGAGTCTGTGGTTCAGTGAACCTCACTCTTGAGATATATGTGACTCAGTCAGGGAGCTTGACTGTTGTCTATACATTGAGTGGAACTTACTGCTTTTGTGTCTCCAAAATGATGTGAAAGGATCTAGCCATAAATAAGAATTAGAACTAATGATACTTTTCCCTAAGAGTTCTTAGTTACATAAAGCTGTATGTTACAATGAAAGGGAAGATAGGGTAACCCTGCAGTAGCTTCTACAATAAATCTCTAAACCTTTGTCTTGATGTAGATCTGCCCTAGTTTGCAGCTCTCAGTTGACTTGGGGTCCACTGTGGACAACAGAGCCCAAATACATGACAGCATCCCCCATGCTATGTTGTGTAAGAGTGGAAGTTTGGAGAGCTCAAAATCACAGCATTATAAATACCATCTGGAATGCACTGTGATAAGCCACTATGACATACACCATCTAGCAAACATTAAATAGTGAAGAACTAAGATTTCTAAGATGACACATTTCACACTGGGAAATCATATGAAGAATTGCTTGATTTCTGCTTGAGTCAACCAGAGGTGCATCAAAAGCTGTATAATGACTGTGCTGTTTACCACCTGGACATACTTCTAGTACTATTTTTTACAGACATAAGCTGCATGTTTAAAGCAGAATGAGGTGGTCAGCTCAGATGAACTAGCTGAAAACTGCACTTGCCTTTGCATGAAGTTATGTTTGCTGTGTGTGCATCAGATTTACTGCATAGTAGATGCTCTTATCACTAGCAGTGATAGTGATAAGAGACTATGTGCGAAGCTGACCAACTTTTCTTTTCTTCAAAAGACTGCAGACTCAAAAGCATTCTCTTCATCTGCTCCTCTCCCTTCCTCTGCCCTCTCTTCCTCTACTGTCACAACACAGCCACCTCCCAGACTTACATGCAGAGTCAATAAGCCACAGGTAATCATCTTTGCTGATTACTCTTCCATTATTTAGAGATGTTTCCATGCCATTGTTTTGTCATGTGCTTGTTTAGCCATTCATTCACAGGTGAGATATTTATCCTATCATTTAATTCAGAATTTTTGTTGGCTTTTTTTTTTTATAATTTTAAATGACTTCCAGGCTGTGCAGAAGGGCAGGTATGCCCAAACTCTTCAGCTGGTGCAGATCCACATAGCTCAAAGTCTAGGTTTCTGCCAGTTTGTACCAGCTGAGGATCTCGTTTTCTGTTCCTCCAAAGGATTAACCCAGGGCTCACCTAGTTCTGACCTTGAATTCCTACAGCTTGATTGCATTATAAGGCAGTACTGGTGGTCTTGTTAACAGGAATGATGTAGTGTGAGATACTTTGGTTCAGGTTTTGTTTAACCACATCAGATCAAAATTCAAGGTTTGAGCATTTTGGACCTAGGGGTAAGGCATACACAATTTGCTATCCATAACGTCAGGGACCTGTGCTAGCCTTCTTAAGTAGGATCCAGAGGTTCTCAGCTCTATTGCTGACAGATACAAACGCCTTTAAGGAGGGGTGCAGTTGGGTCTGTACAGCACAACCAACTCAGCAACCCCCTTGTCTCAATCAGGACTCTGTGGCTGAGCTGTTCAAGATCCGGGCATAACCAGTGCTCGCAGCTGCTGGTGGCTCATCAGTCCTTCCAGGCAGCTTCCACAAGATGGCAATATTTGAAACGGAAAGCTCAGCAGAAACTGGACTGAGTTTGTAGTGATGGGTGTTTGGGAAGCAATCTGGTTTGTTCTGTGAACCAGGCAGGCTGCTCATGCAGGATGAGTGTCAGAAGTAGCTGCCAATGTTACTTATTTTCTTTAGCAGTTTATGAGACCGAGATACAGCTTGAACCCTGAAATTTCCCTGTTACTTGCTCATTTCCCTCTGATTGTGAGCTTGCACAACTTTTTACTGAACAGCCACCTCCTGCTTCCATTTTAGTTTCAATGTCTGAGTCCAACAGGATACATATTCTGCCTCATGTTAAAAATACATAGAAATTTTCTCTGTTGGCCTTTCTCCTGACTTGTGATGGCCTGGTCCTGCTCGTGCTTGCGCTGGACGTGTGTGATTTAAAGCAGCAGGAGCAAAAAGCTGCTTTTGGGGAAAAACATTTCTCCCGAGTGCTGACTAGCACACGGTTTATTTTGGGTGTTGCACCTGGTTGTAATAGGACCCTGTGGCCTTTCTTTGAAGTCAAAGTCAAGACAAAATTTATATTTTATATGCATTGACAATCAGAGCATTGTCAGTGTCGAATTAAAACTCTGTCTGACATTACCAGTAGTCTTAGCTTCTTTTCCCTCTCTTGGCCTACAGTTGTTTAGGGAGCAGGAGCACTATTTATGTGTACAAATGACCTCTAATTACCTGTGTGTCCCATGCAGAGGCTGATGACTTCAGCAAAACTATGGGTAATATGTTGGAGGCCTTTACAAAAATCTGTATCTTTTCATTGGTTTTAATCAAATGAGAAAATTGCCTGGTAGACATGAAAATGAGACATTACATTTGGGTTTTGTTTCCAGTGCTGTCCATCCTTGGTGTCTGAGATATTTTACTATTTTAAAGTTTAGTTTTATAATTTTATTTCTCATTATAGAGAACCTTCCCAGTTATAAAAGTCTGACCCAGGGGTTTTTTTGCAGGCTTAAGACTTCTTTGGTACAGGGCTGGTGGAAAGAATGTGGTTTTGCCTATTCCATTTATTGATAGTATAAATTGCAATGGCTTTTACCTATTCTGAAGTTGTTGCATTTTATTTTTACTGTCCATACTAAAAAGAAAAAATAAATACCCCTCAGCATGTGAAAGATACATCAAGTATAACTTCCAGATAATTTGTTTGAATATTCCAGTAAAACATAAATATTAAGCAGTAATGCAATGTATCATGGAATTTCTAATTTAACCCCTGTTGTATTCTGAGGTCCTGTTAGCACAGTGTGACAGTCAGCAGTGGTAAGCAGTGGTGCTATCAAGTGTGTAAGCAGCAGGAGTGGCTGGACGAGGGTCCCTGTATCACCTGACAGTGTGAGGAGTGTCAGGGAGGCTGCCTGCTCTTTTGCACTTGTAGAAAACCACTGTGGCAGAGTGTTAATTTAATCTGCCTGTGGTAGAGAGGGAGAGCATATGAGGAGGGTGCTCAGACCCCATCTTCCCCAACACAGACTAGCTATGCTTTCTTAGCATGTCTATTACATAGTTAGCAACATCTCCAGATAAGCTTTTATATCCCCCAGTGGTTTTCTGCTGCTGCAGAGGTTCAGCACGGTGGTATTTCTACCCAGCATGTTTACTGTCCAAGCCAGCGCTGCACAACCTGCAGCAGGCATTGTCTCCTGCTCCCCATGGGAGACGCATCTTAGTGTTTCAGCTTCTGATCCAGAGGCTGAGGGGGAGTCTACCTTCTGATAGCCTTCAGGCTGCTCTGCACTTCAGGTTTCTCAGGGTCCTTTGTGAGAGCTCTTTGTCCAGCTTTTCCCTAATGTTCACCAGAGCTGGGGCTTTGGTGTGTCCAGAAGTTTTTCTTTTTTCCTTTCAGCTGGGCTGGGGACTCTTCCCTGCTCATGGTTCTCCATTCACGTGTGGGAGCATCACTGCTGATGTGTGCCCTTCTTGGAGGGGCTACCAATTTGTCTGTATATCTGTCTTGTCTGTCTGTCTGTTCTGCTTAGCTTTCTTTTTGCTTATGTAGTCCTCTAATTCCCACCAGAAAGGGATGGAAGAATACAGGTAAACAAGAGCTGCAATGGATAGACACAGTGATGACACTCGACTTCACTAGGATCAGGGAGAATACTACTGAATTAGCACCGTCATCTTTCTCCCTAATGGTTAAAACCTGTCTCAGGGCTTTGCTAGGCTATTAATTATCTTAGAATATTTTTCTGGTATTGTTACATATTTGTGGTACTCTTTAGATCCATCCTCAGACTCCATATAAGGTGGAAGTAGTGGCCAGCTGTGCTTCAGGACTGATTATACCACATATTTGTATAGTGTGCACGCTAAAGGAGACATACACGCTTCAGCACCTGCTTAAGTTTATTCACTTAGTTTTACAAAGCACATAGTGTGACTGATGGGTAGGAATTGAGGTGTCCTCAGGGATTTTGAATACTTGATCACTTTTAGTGCCCTCAGTTTACCTCCAGCAGCAGCAGCAGGGCTGGCTTATTGTTTTGGGGAAACCTCTTGTGGTTTTGCTTTGGAGCTGTGCCCCACACTTGCTGATTCCTTGGCCACTTCTGGCACATAGAGCCATCACTGTAGGTAGTACACGGGCTTTCTGAACCCATGTTTGAAGAGCATTCAGAGGTAGTATCAGATTTTTTCAGCTTTCAGATAACAGACTTACTTCATAGTTATTAATGCTTTTTGCAGGAAAAGCTGGTCAGGGAGGTCACAAGTAATCAATGGGAAAGGGACCATAGAATCTTAGGAGCTCATGGAGCAGTTCGAGCAGACAATTTATTAGCATGGAGTAGAGAAGCACTTTCTTGAATTAAAAAAATAAATCACAACTGCCTCTCAGCTCAGCCTGGAAATTGGTTTTCCCAGCTGCTTGCCCACCTGCATTAGCTCTGATCTCATCTGATTTGATCCACTGTATCTGGTTGCTTTCCACAATATTAATTTTAAATTTCTAATTATTTGATTTCCCTTTCAGGACTGATGATAGAGAGGCAGGAATGACTTCCAGAAATCCTGTGACGATTTCAGGCTCCAGGAATCTGCTTTGAATGCAGATTCCACTGCAATTAGTTCATCCAACTGACATTTAATGTTCTCTCTATAGGAATATGTATGGTAACAGAGCATTGTTTTGTAGGGCAGTGATCCCAGATTCCTGCACCAGGCAGTGCAGCTGATTATGAAGGAGTTACTATTGGGTTGGGTTGGCCTGGAGTGGGTCACAGTCCTCAAGAAAAGAGAGTTTGTTTTAATGCAGTGATGGGCACAGCTCCAGAGGTGTAAGATGTGGTTCAGAGGAGCTTTGAGAATGGGAATTGGACAGGGCTGAGCTCATCACCCTGTACTTCTCCAAACTCTTTTACCATGCTTAGACTGAAGGCGTCACAAACATCTTGATCTTCTGCTTCTGCTCTGTCTCGGAATGCTGTGAGAAAGCAAACCTGTTACTGAAGGACACTGTTAAAGTGAATAAAAAGGAGGGAAAGTGTAAAATTTGAGGTTGTTAGAATTTGGGTTTAAAATTGTATTGAATGATCACAGAGGTTGGCAGTGCTCTATATCTTACACAATCCACTTTGGGAAGCAGTCCTGCAGTTAGTCCAAGTAACCCTACACTAGTTCAGACGTCCCGTTTACTCACAGCATGCCCCTTGCCTTCAGTAGGTGTTTGAATATACAAAAAGCATGCAAAACCAGGGTCTGGATACATGTGCAACTTTCTCGGTGACCTTTCCCTTCCCCATAAAACCTCCAGCCTCAAACACCTTGATTTTCCTTGCTGTGCCCTTGGATATACGAGTCCTTGTGAAAAGTTGTGACTGGGGAGAGAGGCTGGGTAGAGGTCAGAAGCTTCACAGATGGTGGTGTTTGGAGCTGGGGTTTCCACTCAGGGTCTCCTCTGACCTGAAGCTCTCCCTCTGTGTGAATTAACAGAGCAGCTCAGATCCTCTCTTTGTACAAGCTAGAGTGATTTTTGATGGGGCTGCATGGCACTGTGCCTTCTAAAGACCTGAGCTGATCTTTTTTTTAAGAAGCAAAAGAGTTACTCTTCTCTCCTGTGTCAAAGTCATTGAGGACTTTTTGTAAAGACAGCAGTAGATTCCTTCCAGCATGCTTTTGGCTTTTAAAGTTTGATGCTTTCAAGTATGTGCTTCTGTCCTTGTGGGTTTTCCCCCTTCATAGGAAGGCAGTATGACACCATGTACCATTTCTGGTTGTAGCAGTGTCCATAATCTTCCACTCCAGTTCCCTGCACTGAACTTCTGTCTTGCTGTCACCTTTCTCTTTGTAGCATTGTGTGCTGCAGTGCAGTTGCATTACTGTAGCCTCAATGTCTCTTGTGTAAAAGACAGACATTGCTGTCCAAGAAGTGTGGTGTTGGGGTGGGGAGGGGAAGAATTGTTTGTTTTCTTTTGTCTGCTCTCCATTTACATTTTTTTAATTCTGACCAATATATCATCTGCTAAAATGTCTTCCTTATCATTTGCTTGGTGATCACACAGCCTTCCCACCATTCATTGAGAGCTGGACCAGATCTCACAGAGTCTGAAAAGAGCTATGTGGTAAGGCCACTGTTTAAATCAGATGTGTAGTCCTAGACTCTCCTCACCCAGACAGTAGAGATAAAATGCCAGCACTGTTTTTAGCTACAAAGTAGGTACCTATTTATCTATTTGCATATATTGTTTTCTTTGCAACAGTAAAAGGGAACTTATCAATTAGGAAAACTGTCAATGCGAAGTTGGGCTAATTGTGCTGCCAGTCCCTGGGTATAAGTTAAATGAAGCAAAATGCATGAATGGAGCGGCCTGCCCTGCATTCTTGAACTGACTTCATAGCATTTGTATTGGTGCCACTGCATAACTAATTGCAACCTCATATGCTGCTGCTTTTAAAAGTGTATGTATATGTATTTGTTACAAATCTTCAAACTAAATGCCAAATTCTTCTGTATCTTGCCTATTTTTCCATGCTTACACCTGGATCCCTTCTGCACTCCACTACCTGGATAATTACCTGGATCTACAACTCTCTTTTTTTTTTTTTCCTTTTACTGGACTTATGTGCTGCATCTGGAATGTCCCATCTCTTCTTGTCTATATTTTCCCCTCCCTCCCCCCTGTTGACTGTCCTTTGGGTGTTCTTGGATGTCAATGCTGCTCACCACACAGGAAGCTGTTTGCAATGAGATCATAAACATTGCAGAAAAGTCTGTTCATTACTGCAGTACTATTGCTCAGCCTCTTGACTCTCGCCACAAGGTGACCTCTAATGATCATAAACCATCTCTCATCATTTCTCAGCAACCTCAAGCACAGCAGCAAGGAACCAGCCCTGACAGAAGTCAAACACCACGAGACATGTAAGTCCTTTTGGCTCCCGTCTCTTCCAAGAGCCTTATATCTGATTGGTGGTGAAAACGGGGAGCTGTGAAAGCTTCAGCATTTCAGGAGTTACATTAGAATTATGGGAAAGTGTCAGCTTTTCTTTATAGAAAAAAAATAGCCATGTATCATCATAATGAGTAGCTTGAATCTGGGACCTTGTGTCTGTATAGCACCTGAAAAAGTGACCTCATGATCCAAGAATGGGTCTCCTTTTGGGCACTTGGCTCATGCTGGTCATGGAGATTATCTCAGTGTCTTTGTATTTTGAACCTGGAGTTCAAATTAATATCCACTGGCTACATCATGCTCGTATGGCATGGGTCAGTGTATTCACCCCTGTTCTTAGCTTCTCCCAGTACAGTGAGCAGTTCAGCACTGATGCCACTTGGTCTTTTGTTGGCCAGTTCTACAGATAAATTGGTGCTAGGTGATTTGAGAGACCAAGCCTGAGATTTTCAAAGCTGTCTGGTAGATTTAAACCTGGAGCAGCCATTAAGCTAGGTGCAGGTTTTCGCTGATGATTTTGGGAATAGTAGCCTGCACTATGTGCTGGGGACTGAAGTTCCTGGGCACTTTGCTTCGCTTTGCCCTGCTCCTTTATGCAGAATGGGAAGTTTCACATCAGCTGTTTTCACTCACCACAGACAGGGGATCCAAGCCTCCCCAGATTTGCCCAAAGATTGTTGCCACTCCATAAAGCTCCTTTCTAACAAATACAGAGTGCCTCTGGTGCAAGTGGTATCTCAGGGCAGAATTCAACCTTGGATTTTGTAGGCACTGTACCTCCTCTGCCATGAGCCTGGGCAAGGGAAGAGATGTCTCACTTAGCCCAGGAATGAGTGTATCCAGGTTTTGGCTTGTATTCAGTAGCGTGTCTGCACTCGTACATTCTGTAGGTGCTACATGCTAGGAAGACTCCAATTATTACAGTCTATGGAGACCGCTACATGGCAAAAAGGAAGTAGAAGCTCTCTGCATATCCCACACAATGGAGGCGTGACACTTTTTACTGCCATGGCCTTGTGACAACAGCCAATTTAATGCACTTGGCTTCCACTTCTCAAATGGAAAACACAGGTCTAGATTGCATTGAACAAAATATAGTAGGAATTAGAAAGGAGAAGGGAGATGTCTCCTGAAGGGATGTGAGGGAAATCCAATGACTAACATGCAGTATCTTTCTGGATTTAGAGTTAGCTACCAAGCCCTCTACAGCTACACTCCTCAGAATGATGATGAGCTGGAACTGAGGGATGGTGACATCGTTGATGTCATGGAGAAATGTGACGATGGCTGGTTTGTGGGTGAGTGTGATACTTTCTGTCAGCAGAGCTTTTTGAGATGCAGATGAGCAGTTTTGCAGAGTGTCTGCAAGTTACTTTCATTTGTGGGGTCAAAACAGTGAACTTGACTTTTTTCACGATTTCTCATCTTTTCCCACCAAAACCATTAAATTTGGGGTTCAGGGAGGTGGAGCTTTGTTTTCCTTGCTATGGCTCTAGTTTTAACTTTTACCTTTTCTTAATTTCCCCATTCCCCTCTTCCTCCTGATCCTTTCTGCTCTCCCAGATAGCAGAGCAACAGAGGGAACCAAGGAAAAATGGATTTCTGTAGCTTTTCCAAAGCTGAGGTAGCTGTGGCAAGTTACCACAAGTGGCAAGTAGGGGACAAAGGAAACATATGGATGGGAATTGTAGTCCCTGAAAATTCAGCCTCAACTGTAGCTGTACATTTAGCAAAATCTATCCCTTTACCTGCGAAGAATGCAAGTCTGGACAATGTTCTTCATCTCAACACTGCAAATCTAAGCTTGTTCTCTCTTCTTAAGGGATATTAGCTCATTTACACTGATAGGAGTTTGGCTCCTATCCTATGGGTCCAGGAGCTTTCACCAGCACCTTACTAAGTGTTACAAGGGAAGACAAAGATGACTAGTAGTAGAACTAGTTGTGAGCTTGTCTTTACTGAAAGGCTCTTTGAGAAGGATTCCTATTTAACTTTAGAAATAAATGCCTGCAGGCAGGAGAGGCTGCCATCTCTACCTTACCTCTAAGCCTCCTGTGCATGGCTCCATCTTACCCTGGCTTCCTTGTGTTTTATTTTGTGACAGGTACATCCAGGAGAACAAGGCAATTTGGCACCTTCCCAGGCAACTATGTGAAGCTTCTGTACCTGTAAAATAAGAGTAATCCCACCATGACAATGATGGGGTTGTTTTCCAGATGGCATTTTTAAACAGTGAAGAAACAGACAATTTATGAATGTAATAGAGAAGAGACAAGACGTGTTAGGAGGACGTGGTTACGTGGTACAGTACTGAGTTGAATGTGTAACCCTGCTTCAGTGGATTCAGGGTGTGATTTGTTTGCTGAAAAAGAGACAGTTTCTAGTTTACAGTGCTGCCTTTGTGTATTCCTCTTCCCTCCCAGCAAGAGTTTTGATGATAATCTTAATTTGTATGGCGTACTTACCTCTGAGAAGGCTTCAGGGAAGCACATGGTATATATAGGTTTTGTTTGTGTGTTGAGATAGGATAATGCTTTGGGGCAGTGTGCACCCTTGCAGCTGCTCCCTTTCACTGGGAAGGTTCAGGGAGGCCAGGCTCTCTGCCCAGTTTCTGCCTCCCTGAAGACTCACTTTGCACAGCCTTCGACTTCCATAGAAAAACCTTCCTTCATGACATGCATCTTAAGACCCAGCAGAGGCAGAGGACAACTGATGTGGTTAAACTGCAGAGCTCTATGTGGAAAAGGAGTTTGGCACTCATGGTTTAATCTGTTTAACCTGTGCAGGTTAAATGCACGTAATGCAAACGTGAAAATCACAAACTCTTTAATATAACCTTATCTCTGCAGGGTTTTTTTCTTTTGTGCAGGTGGTGTGTGTGTGAGTGTGCATCAAAACGAACCGAGTCCTGGTTTTTAAAGAGAAATCAGCCTGTCTTTGACATTTATCTGCACAAAGAATAGAACCAATAAACAGAACATCCATGAGAGCAAATCCTGTTTGAGTGCTATGGCCATTCACTTTCTTTTTCTTCCTTGCCCTGTTGTTGTTCCTAAAGGATCACACACTTTTTGAAGTATACTCTTGGGGATGAAGACTGCTTCTTTCCCAGCATTGAATCTTAGAAGCTCTGATATATCTGAGCAACATATCACTGAGGGTGCCTTTTTTTTTCCTTTTTGGTCAGTGTCGATGGTAGGTCTCAAACAAATACATGCATTTTGGCATACAAAATTCTAATCAATTTGGAAAGCTGTTTCCAGCAGTTACTACCAGTTACATAGATGCACGTTTCCATGAGGGGGGAAACTGTGGCATGCCTGTAAATCCACTCTTTTGATAGACAATTTGTTATTAAGAAACAGCATAAACAAAACCAGTTCTATCAGACTCTGCTTCCTGCAGTTACCATACAAATAGCAAAGGGTTAAATTGCTATTTTGTCATAAGCCGTATTTAATAATATAAAATGCCTATTTTTATGCTGATGCTTTTATACAGATTTATTAAGAGTAACTACAACTAACTGTTAGCACGACTTGCAATGTTTTGATAAACTAGCCATGCTCCTGGGTTTGAAATCAAGTAGGCTTGTCTTCCGCCTAGCTCAGCGGAAGAGAAGACTCATTGTCTCAGAAGTTTGACTGTAAATATGTATATTTAACTTTGTACAGACAATGTACTTACCTTGTATAGAAAAAATAATTTAAACACATTGAGAGAAGGGAGGGGGAAAAAAAGGCAGTTGTGAAAGGTCAGGATATTTTTTCCACTTTTATTTAAATGATGGAATTCTGTGTATGTTCACATAAAGAGTTTTAGCACAAAATATCCATTATGAAAGGTTTTCAGGTATGACACAAAGCACCACTGTTTCTTTTCAGCAGGAGATACCTTTAATCCTGCATCTTATTTATGGGTTTGTTTTTCTGCTTTGGGTTTGCTCTCCAGTTATTTGCAGCAATATTTAGGTCTGTTGCTAAGATTGGATAAGACCAAATTAATCTCTCCAGCAAAGTAACATGATGATACTGACTGTATATAACATACTCATTTAAAGGTTTATTTTTTGTTCTTGCTCTTGCCATTTTAAGTTACACACACACACACACACACACACACACGTACAAACTGCAACTTATTTTTGTGCTGATTTTTTTGTTTCTTATTGCAGTGGATTACTCTTTGACAATTAATAAATGGAATTATTGAATTACTATTGTGTACCTTGTATGAATTATTAAATAAAGTCTATTCCCACTGTTCCTGTAGCAGTGCGCTTCTGTATGAGTGCCCCTCCTTGGCTGTGTCCATATAAGCAGCAAGTGTCTGCTATGGACTTTCTGAGTGTCCTGCACCTGAGGATCCTGCTTATGACTTGTTGACCAGTTCTCCCTCCTGAGCTGTAGGCAGGCCATGACTTTTTCCTCAAAGAAACCAAGGTGTAAAAGCAGAGAAAAAGCTGTTTTGCACCCAGATCTCACTGTAACATGGGGTCAGGGTGCAGCTGCTGTGGTGTGCATGCGGAGCTGGGAGCTCAGGAGCGTGCCCAAGTCCACCAGTTTACAGAGGCTCTTTGTGACTCTCTTTTAAGATGAGAAGACCACACAGGTTAAGTAGGGCAAGAAACCCCAAATGCCAACCTCTGTGGGAAGGGGTGTTGATTGACACTGGGTTTACACAGGCATTTTTAACCCTAACCTGGGTCGAAAGCCGTAAGATGCTGACTTCTGCAGTAGCTGCGTTCTGACCAGGCAGGTAGGGCTGCAGCACTAACTCAAGGGGTTTGTGTAAGGTTTGTGGTGAACACACCATGTCTTCTATCTGTGGAGCAGCAGAGCTAACTGGGGCTTTCTGGGTGTGCCTTGTAGAGGAACAGTCCCTGCAGGAGCAGAGCAAGGGAAGGCTGGAGCTGAGCTGCCTTGGGGGAGCCCACTGGGGCTCAGTAACTCACAGGTACCACCAAATTGCACCTTGCACCTCCACAAATCTGCCTAATGCAATCTGCCTATGTGGGGCTGTGCTGACCCCAAAGGCTGGTCTTTCACTTCTTGAGGCCTCCACCTCAGCCTGAGCCAAAATTGGGCAACAAACTCTGTGATGGCTGATGGGGTGACCAGGCAGACACATACAACACGTCGTGGCTGCAGTCACAGTGATTTTGGGAAACTTTAGCAAGCCAACCCTAAACCTGAACTAACAGAGTAGCAAAAGCCTCAAGCTGTTTTCCACTTCCCCAGAAAGCACACAGACACAAGCCCACTTTTCTGTTTTGCAGGTTACCTTATATGCTGCAAAAGGGCAGCCTGATCACTGCTTTGCTGCACTGTCTATCCTAATATACTGGGTCACAGGGAAGAAGAGGACCCAGTGGCATGTCACAGCCCTCTGGTAATCCCTCACACCTGGGAGGGAAGGAGCTCTTGGTGTTACTTTCTTCACTGCCAGGAGATGTGTAATTATGTGGTAAAAGAACTGCTGCTCTCTGATAGAAATGAGATTAACAGTCTGAATGCAGGTACCCTGGAAGGAAATAACCCATGAAACAACAAGTGAATGCAGGAAAAAAGGAGGAAGCCAAGAAAGGGGATTGCAGAGGCAAGGGTGTGCCTTGTGGTCATTTGTGGCCATGTCTCATAATGCCAGCACTTAGTGACCCACCTCAGCCACATTTGCTGACTGCTCCATGCTCTCCCACTGTGCCTGAGTCCCAGCTTCAGCAGCCGCTTTGTGCTACGGGTTGCTACTGTTCTGCTCACTGATGTGCGTTTATCAAATATGCAGCAGTGCTTACACTCAAGTTGTAAATGCCAGCACCGTTGCTGTAAACAACATCTCAGATTGGTGGGGGCTTAACATGCAACTGGAACAAGTATTTTTCCCAAATCATAGCTAAGGAGGTTGGCTGGAAAAAAACTCCTATAAGGGAATTCCTTTGTTGGTGGTACCACTCTAAGGGGCTAGAAATAAGCACTGATGGACTTGAACCCTTCCCAGGCTCCGCCCCTACCCATCAGCTCCCAGCTGGGAAACTGCACACAATGCTGCTTATTTCCATCGCTCCCATTAGGTTTCAGAGTTAACACCGCGCCAAGCTACCGCAGGCCGGTCCGCCTTTGCACGAGAAGCGCCGCACCGGGGCAGTCTTGCATGCGGTTTCCCACCGGCGGCCTGCTCGGCTCTCAGCTGGGAGGCGACGGAGTGGAATGGGCCGAGACGGGGCGTGAGGCGCTCCCAGCTCCCGACGACCGAAATTCTCGCCCTCCCACCGCGGCTCGGCCCCGCAAACCTCCCCAGGGCTTCGCCTTGGAGCGCGACGGGCCAGCGGTATCCGGGGAGCACTGCCCCGGGGCGGGCCCGGCAGCCTGGTGGCGGCGGAGCCCGGGAGTCCTGGGGAGGGTCTGGGGCGGGCCGGGGGCGGGCCGTGCCGGGCCGTGCCGGTGCAGGCGGCGGGGCTGCTGGGCGTCCTGCGAGGTGCAGTCGCGCACATGGGGACACACCGCATCGTGCTCTCGGGCCCCGGGCCCTGGGGCTTCCGCCTGGTGGGCGGCCGGGACTTCGAGCAGCCCCTCGCCATCTCCCGGGTAGGGCTCGGCGGCGGCCCGGGGGAGCGGGCGGTGCTGGGGGCCGGGGAAGTCGCTGGGACCGGGTCTGCGCGGCGGCGGCTCCGGGGAAGGCTGGGGCTGACTGGTGGCACAGGGGCAGGGTTGGTGGCACAGGGGCACGGGGGGATCTTCTCTTTTTCTTCCCCCCGTTTATTTATCTGGCATGTATAGAGAAAGTAGTGTCCCACGCAGCCCTTTGACCTGTCTTTGACCAGAGCCTTTGCTTCTTATCGTTCGTCCATAGCAAACCCCTTACTGCAGGCAGAGAATGCTCTCTGCTCCCACCAGCCTGTAATTTGGGTTTTGCAGCCCATGCTGTGGGAAGCAGTCACGCTGAGGTGGTGTTAGTGCTCGCCTGTGTTGGCTTGCCATGTATAGGTAAAAGAAAAGCCTTTGTTTACAGAAGCCATATTAACGTACCTTAAGTGCTGCAGCCTGTTTCTGTTCTAAGTACTTCTTACCCACTTAAAGAAAAATTAGTTATGAAATGACAGTAAAGTTCCACATGCAAACAGTTTTAGTGGTGTAACTTAATGCGCCGTGCTGGGCTCCAGTGTTTGCCCATGTAACGTCAGGGATTGGTTCAGAGGGCCTGGCTTTGCTGTCCACGTACCCCCTGCACCCAGACATCCCCGTGCAGGTGCTGCCGCCTGCATGGCTGCTGCTGGCTGGGAGCTGGGCCCTGCCCTGAGCTGCTCGCTGCACACCTGCAACAACCAAAGGTGTACATGCCCATTGCTTCCTGTGTGTCGGCAGTGCACCCCAAACTCCCTGTCCCTCTGTGGCTTTCGATGGGGTGGGCTGCTCGGTGTCTTGCTGGGGCTGGCTGCAGGCCCGCCCCCCCCCCGGGGGAAGGACTTGCTCTGATTTCATGATTTCCAGCAATTCCTCTGCAAACCGCAGGCATCCGATGAGCTGCTGGCGGCCCTGGGCTCTGGCTCTGCCACCACCTTTATGTGGCTTTAGGGTCTTCAGGCGAGGAAGGGCCATGGGAAGTGGGACATACAAGAACTTGAACCTCTGTGAACTGCACTTCAGGAAGGCCAGGATGGTGAAACTTGTGAATTGTTCTAAATATCTCCTGCCCCTTGGTCTCATGCAGTGGGGTGCTGCTGCCTGAATGACCCCAGGTGCCGTGGGGAAGGCTGCTGGCTTCAGGAAGGGCAGAGCTGGGAGTGCTGTCAGACTCACAGAGGGGGGGAAGTTATTAGTTTTCCGTGTAACCTCTTTCAATCACAGTTATAATGCCTCATTCTTCTAAAGCATTTTTTTGCCATGAAAGCAGCTTTAGTGTAGGGGAAGTGATATTTACTTCACTGTTATGGTAATTGTTGCCGTTTCCCTCCAGCAAAAGGCTCTGAGGAAGAAAAATGGCTGAAGTCCTACCTC